CTTGGGGAGGCAGGCTCTGTGGGTGGCCTGGCCCCTGGGGGCTTTCCTTCATGTTCTCCAGCAGGTAGGCCCCCAGGAGGGTACCCCGGCTCTTTCTGAGGCTGGAGGTGAAAACAGGTAGGATGCTGGAGAGCCCAGCCTGGGGTCCTCACTAGAATCCATTCTTTCACCTCATTCTAAGGACCCCTCCCAACCTTTGCTCAGGACCCCACCCAACCTTTGGTCTTGCCTCCTCCTAGATGCCACATCTGCTACTGCTATTGTCACCACTTGGTAGAACAAGGGATCCTACTGTGGTTCTGGACTAAACCAAAACAAACCAGCTGCCGTCACAGCGACCCCAAGTGTTGCGGAGTAGAACTGTGCTCCACAGGATTTTCAAGGCTGTGACTTTTCAGAAGTAGATTGCCAGGCCTTTCTTCTGAGGCATCTCTGGGTGGGTTTGCACTGTCAACTTTTTGGTTAGCAGCTGGGGGCTTAACAATTTGCACCACCCAGGGACTCCTGCTTCTGGACTAGCCTGGACCTATTTCAAGAGCGCTCTAAAAGTGCCAGTGCATCCAGAGACAGAGGATCAGAGGATAAAGGCATCTATCTCTTTGTCCAGGCCCTGATCCCTGATGTCATGGTAGTGTGTTTACAGAAGCTTGGAGAATCCATGAGGTGGGAGCAAGGAGGAGCGGATTCTGGGCTCTGTGCATAACAACCTTCTAAGAAACAAAGCCCAAATGTGCCTTACCCGACCACCTCCTCCCCTGGGTGGCTCACTCCAGCTTTACGCCCTTGAGGAAAAAGCAAATCCAGCCCCCTGAGCTCTCAGGGATGTTGTTAGGCAGCCAGGAAGTGTGGTTGTGGTCAAAGGTATTGGGGATCACTGGGCTGGCAGGAGAGGCAAATAGGAGCAGTAGCACGTGGCAGCATTTAGATGGAATCTCCTGGAAAACAGTATGCCACCATCCTAATATTAGGCACAGTGACACTCCAGCTGAAGGGAGCAAATGTGTGTTTCAGGGGAAGGAAAGCTTCTGGAGACCCTGTTTTCTGTATGGGGGCTGCTCCCCACCCCTCCCACAGTGGGAGGCATCAGAGCGAGGAGCAGGAGGAGAGACCTTGAAACTCCTACCTGAAATGGCCTCACTCCTGGAGGATAGAATCAAGTTCCATGTCAATAATTTCCCACCACAATGTCAATCATCACTCCAACACCTTTCTGTACAAACTGTGCAGAAACCAAGGCAGTGAGCAGGTCAGGAATAGCTTAATATCATACAGAGGGACAAAGCTGTGCAGACGTTGGGTCCACACCCATGCTTTCAACTAGCTCCACTTGGATTTATTAGCCACCTTCCACCCTCCCAAAGCCCAAGGGTCTTCCCTCTAGCCTTTGACTCTTCTCTGACCTGGGACCTCACTGCAGACAAACAGGATATTACTCACTAGCGTGCTCTCTCATCTACTGCTATCCGGACCCAGACCCATCCTCCTGACACCCCACTCCCGGGCCTTCCCACCTTAAACCACTCCCTGCCTTCCCCGCTCACTCAATCTGCCCCTCACTCTCACTCTTCTTCCCCACACCACCCCACCCGTCCCTGTCCCTCCCTGACTCACCTCCAAGTACCATTGACACAAACAAAAATTTCAGCACAACCCACTCCAGCCAGTTTGGCTGAGGTGTGCAGCCTGCCATGGGGACAGAGGCTGTAAGCGGATGCTTGGACACATGCAGATAATGAACATCCGTAGTTAACACACACAGAGCCAGCCCCACACATGTGCCCGGCATGCACACATACAGAGACACATGGGAACCCATGATGGTGGGATAGAGTATATCACAATCGTTTCTGTGTCCTTCTCTCCTAATTGAGGGCAGGGACCGTGTTTGATAGGTCTCTGTCCTCTCCCTTGAGCCCTGCACAAAGTGGTACTCACTAAATGCCTGCTGAATGGACGCAAGTGTGCAGGCATGTACGCTGTGATGCTACTCACAATTACATGCTGAAGATGCCACCTTGGCTTGAATTGTTCCCATTCTTAGGGCCCAGAATGTGGGTGGGAAGAGGGTAGGTAGTGAGGCGTGAAGGGAATGGAGAATCAGTGAGGAAGAAAGAACAGAATCTGGGATACCAGGCATTGGCCTTGGAAGTCTTTCCCCCAGCAGTATTTTCTCCCAGCCCTGCCTTGGAATAGACCTTCCCCAGGCTTCATCCCAACAGAGGGGAGGAAAGGCTTAAGCATGAGGGCATAGTCCGCAAGAGCATGACCCTGTGAGACACACATACAGGATTGAGGGAGCAAGGGATGAGGGAAAGATCCTTACCTCAAGCAAAGGCCTGGGGTGGCTGCGTGGCACTATAGCTCCGTCTTGGGCTGGTAGTGCCCTTACCCCTATTTCAAGGATCCTCTGGTGTTCACTATGATCCAAACATACCCGTGAAAAAATATTGGTTACATGCTGGTCTTACCACCTCCTCTGGAAAGTTCTGCCTGCCTTCAGTGTCCCATATGGCTAGAGTTGAGGGTCCATGGCTGAGAGCCCCCAGCCATGGGCTCAGAGACACACTGACTGGCAGTACCACAGGGAGGTGGGGTATTGTGAATGGAAACTCTGAAGGAAATACAGGACCTGGATACTCACCTTGTGATCTAAATGCTTCCCTACCTCCATGCCTCAGTTTCTCCTGTGGTTCCTTGGTTCTAATTCACTGGGAGGGGTGAATCCATGGGAAGGAAAGAGCAACTCTGAAACCATGCGATAGGATCCAAGGTGTGATAATTATAATTATAACACAGGATGCTTCCCCCTCCTATTCCCCCCAGCCCTACCCCACCCCTGCCACAGCGGATCTCAAAGCAGCATGGGGTGGGGCTCCTCCGCTGGCACAGCTGGAACCTGAGTCCTGAAGAGGGGAAGGGGCTTGCCAAGGTGGAGGTGGAGTGAAACTGGGGAGTTTTGGCACCCAGCCTGGCCCTTGGGGCTACCTCCTGACCTGCCTGAAATAGCCTCCAAAAGATCACTACCATGGTCGTTGCTGAGAGTGGGTCTAGAGCCAGAGCTGGGGTCATAGTCCAGAGGCAGGGTTAAAGTCGAGGTCACAGCCCATGTTCAGGAGAGTCAGTCAGGGTCTCTCTGCTTCACTGACCCTACCTCACCACATTTTCCATCCTGACATTCATTCATAAATTCATGCCTTCAGCAAAAATATATTCCATCCCTATTTTGTGCTATGATATGGATGAATGAGACCAGCCTTACTTTCAAAGAGTTCACAGACTATAGCTGTCGTCCTGTCCCTCAATTTAACACGTTTACTGAATCCCTGGCACACAGCAGCCCTCAATCAATGTTTCTTGAATTGAAGCTTACAATTTAGTTAAGGAGATAAGATTGCACAAATTATGAGTGCACAAGCTATAATAAAGGGACTAGCAAAGGCTGAGGAAGAACAGAAGAGAGAAAGATTAAGTTGGGTGGGAGGAGCTAAGAAGGCTTCGTGGAAGAGGCAGCATTTGAGGTCAACCTTGAAAGATAAGATTTCTACAGGTGGAGTTGGTGGTGGTGGTGGAAAATATTCTAGATGGAATGACCCTCCCTTACTGACTGTTTCTGATTCCTCCTTTCTGCCTCTTTCCAGACAGACTATTTTTTCTTCTCCCATGTGACAATTTATAGTTTCTAGCTCCAGTCTATTAGAGAACTTGCCCCTCCCCTCCACAAAATTATTAGAGGGTTCAGGGTCTGCCCCCTCTTCTAACCATTCCAGCCAGGCCAGTAAGATTTTGAGAACTTGTTGGTCACAGTTACATATCCAGAATGGAAACATGTGTCTGATAAATACAAGTATACTTCCAGGAGTACAGGGGCACAGGGTATTTGAAATCAAGACTGCCCTTGGAAAGTCCAGACATGTGGTCCCTGTCCAGAGACGGGGATAAAATGGCTATGGAGATTATGGAAGGAACCTTTTCTACTAGAGTTGTGCTAATGCACTTTTGGGACTCCTGGCCGGGTAACAAGAAGATGCTGAAGGTGAGAGAGAGGGATGGCTGACAGAGGGCCCCACTAGGAAGCTAGCAATTCCTTGTAGTGCTAATTTCTTGATAACTCCTTGGCTTCTCCCGTATGGGGGTGGGATCAGGGGGGTTCCTGAAGCTCCTTCTCAGGGATCTTTGAACTGGCTCCCTGCCTCATGGACACAGGTGTCTGAGCAAACCATGCTACTCCTAGTTGTGTGTCCTCGGGCGAGCCCCTTCCCCTCTCTGGGCCTCTGTTTTTTCATTTGAAGGATAAGGGATGGGCTGGCACTCCCAGGACCCTCCTCAGTTCTGGCCTTCCCTGGTTCTGCGGCTCCAAGGCTGAGACCCTCTAGGAGATAGGGGAACGTGGCAAGGCCCCGGGGAGGCAGCAAGGCTGGCTGGGGTGTGGGATACTTGGGTTCCTTTCCGCCCACAAGGGCCTTGCCCTGTTCATCCTGGCCTGGTGCCTCTCTCTTTGAGCCTCACTGGGCCTCTCCCTGGACCTTGCCTCTCCCTTCTCAGCACCTTCTACTCATTCTCAGGTAAACCCTGAGCTGAAGACGGGATCCCACCCCCAGGGTCTTTCCCTCCCTCCCTCACTGGCGCCCATTAGCTAGCCCAGGCCATGGGGGCGGTGGCTGCTGAGTCTCCGTGCCAGACCCAGCCCCCGGAGACGCACCTGTTCTGACCTGCTGAGCAGGTTCCCAGGTTTCTACCGTCGTTGTTGGCCACAGCGTGGGAAGCAGCTCTGGGGGAGCTCGGAGCTCCCGATCACGGCTTCTTGGGGGTAGCTGCAGCTCGGTGGGTAGAACGGGGCTGGGTCCCCTCGTGGAGAACCCAGTGGAATAGGCAGCTGGGTCAGTGCTGGGGCTTTGTGACGTTCTGCCTGCTGGGCCGGTGTCCTCTCCAACTCTAGAGCCGGCTCCCAGGGAGAACTCGAAGGAACTTCAGAAACACTTCGCAGATCTGCCTTTCAACCAATGCGCCTGTCCCTGGGAGCCGAGATGTGGGGGCCTGAGGCCTGGCTACTGCTGCTGCTCCTGACATCATTTACAGGTAGGACTTGCCTGAACCATCAGGACCTTTGCTTTTGAGCCCAACCCGACTTGCGCGCACACATGCACACACACACACACAAGTAGATCTGCATACACACACAGATGTGCACACACACACATTTTCCTTCCTTTGACTCTGGGCTGGGGAATCAATCTCTCTCTCCCACCCCAGCTGCCAGTATTGCCCCCAGAAGAGCCAATGTGGCTGTTTCCTTTCATGTCCCCTCCCCGCCCCCCAGGCCAGCCACTGCTTCTGGGGTCCCTACCTCTGCCAATGCCTTGCCTAGGCCTGACCTGCTTCTGGGGGAACAGATACACTGGCCCACCACAGGTAGGCAGGAAGGTGGAAGTGGGGAAGACCTCATTCACCCCAGGGCTTTCCGGAGGCTCCTTCCCCAGCCCCTGGGCTCCAGAGCTGCTGACTGGGCTGACTCAGGGCTGAGCTGGCTTTAGCAGTCATCACCACGTAGGAAGGTAGATGCCCAGAGAGTGGACAGGGCATTTCTATCCCCTTCTCCCCTCTCCTTGATGTTCTAGAACACCAGGACTGGGGCACCTGTTGGGGACTGTACAAGAGTGGGACTTCTCTCACTCTGGCCCCTCCCTTTCCCTGAGCATACTATTAGGGTGGTAATGTGGGGGTTAGTAAGGTGAATAGGGGTCTAGGGCAGGGTACTTTCTAGATAGTGTGTGGTCTTTTGTTCACCCCTGTCCCCTCCTGCATTTTCTCAACTAGACACCCTGTATTACCCCTTACCGCTACCTGTCTAATGTATATATAAGCAAACAAACAAACAAAACAAAACCCATTGCCATCAAGTCAATTCCGACCCATAGCAACCCGATAGGACAAGGTAGAATTGCCCCATAGGGTTTCCAAGGAACAGCTGGTGGATTCAAACTGTTGACTTTTTGGTTAGCAGCCGAGCTCTTAACCACCGCGTCACCAGGGCTCCAAATGTATATCTAGCAAATATAAATTGTAGGAACTTATTATCCTGAGAGTGGGGGAGAGTGTGTGTGTGTGTGTGTGTGTGTGTGTGTGTGTGTGTGTGGAGTGTGTGTGCTCAATGAGACCACACTGGGACTCCACGGGCTGTTTCCAGGGGTGTGAGTAACTGAGAAACATTTCCTTAGGAAGACAGGGCACTGTCTGGATAGGACAGTTGGATTCCCAGCCCCAGGATCAGTAGCAAGGAAACTTCAGTTGTCCAGCAGGGCCCAGCAGTGACCCCCTATTCCTCCCCAGCCAGCTGGAGCTCTCAGGAGGAGAACTTGGCCTAGGTGTGTGGGTTGGGTGGGGGTGGGGACTGTTCTCACCCTAATCATATAGTAGAGGGGCCATTGATCCAGCCTCTAACACAGGATACTGAAGTCCAAACACCTCCATCTCCCCCACCTCAATGTCTTAATTCCCATCTTCCAGACAACCCTTCTCACTTACTTAGGCCAAGAGGGTGGGGCCTGGCTGCTGGGTCAGGGATCCCAGCAATCACTTTCCTTTAGGATCTACCCACACCTAAAGAATGGAGCCATGGTGTCTCAGGACTTAGAAGCGATCAAAGAGATCACAGTTCCAACTCCTTCATTTTACAGTTGGGAAAATTGAGGGAAATAGATAGGAAAGTGACACCTGCAAGGTTACTCAGGGTGAGAAGCCTATTCAGGGTTAGTGTCTTGGTCTCCCGACCCCTGGTTCATTAAAGAATAGCACATTTGGGTGCACTCTGGGTGTGTCCAGGGTACTAATAAGACACAGCCTCTTACCGGCCTTTTCCACACACAGAACTATTCTTCCTAAGAGATGCTCAAGGAAAGAGAGAGGAGACCTCCTTCTAGTTCTGGAATTGCTCCTGACCTCATCCAAATCCCTGTGGGCAGGGAAGAAGCCTGGCTCCAGGACTGCCCCAGGAAGCGACCCCTGTGCTGCAGCACCAGGTGGCCTCATCTGCAGTGTCACCCCCATTCTGGCTCCTCTGCGTATAGGGATCTCCTCAGTGGCCCCCAGGAAGCTGGACTGTCTCATGCCTCTGAGAAAGCGTTAGACTGGGAAGTCAGGAATCCTGGGTTCTGGCTCCATTTCTGCTATGAATTTGCTAGGTAACCTTGGGCAACTAGGAAACTGGACTTCAGTAAACCAAGAGGTAGCACTAGATGATCTCTATGGGCTTTCTAGCTCTGAAATTCTATGGCTCTGTGATTGTCCGGCTCCTGGCTGAAGTGTGGTGCTGGGGTGCTGGTAGGGGCAGTTAGTCTGGTTGTGGAGGCAGAAAGGGGAAAGGGTCCTGGCACCATCTCTCAGTGGAGGCCAAGGGTAGCTTTCCCCTGGATACTACCTTCCTGGCTCTACTTCGAATCTCCCCCCAACCCCCAACTCCTGGGCCAGGAGCTCTAAGCCCGAGGGCCCTGCCCCACCCCTGACAGGGAGAGGAGCCCAGGCTTGGGAGGCACCTCAACACCACGGCTCTTTGTCTCTCCTTAATGGGATGAGTTTCCGGGTGAGGTCCACTCCCTTTACCCTCCCCCATCTCCTGCCCTGGGGCTGAGGGGCCCAAATCAAAGGGGATACCCCTTTAATAGGATCCTGGTCCCTGGCTCATCAGAGGACAAGGGGTCCTCTGAATTCTAAGGTCTACCTTCTGAAGGTTACAATCAGCTCTCTGAGATTTCCTAGAAAGGGAAGGGCCCCGTCCCTGTTTTTCTACTTCTGTTTACAGAGGGGGGCAAGCCGTTTCCTGTAGGACTTACCCAAACCCAGGGAAGCTAGAATGGGAGTCTAGCTTCCCTGCCCAAGGCAGGGAGGACTGGGAGAATCCCAGGGAAGCCCTGTGGCCCCGGTGACCTTGGTCCCACCTTAGGACTTCAGGGGGCTGGGGCAAAGGGACCTCAACCACAGAGACAGTGGCAAGGGGCTCACAGCAGAATCCATGTCCTGTCTTCTAGACCACAACCTTGGGATCCAGGTCTTCTAGGCACAGTGAATGGGGGTCAGACATCTGGGGAGCAAGCTCACTGAGGAGAGAAAGCCCAGGCTCTTCACTGACGCTGTCTAGGCAGAGAGAAGGGGTGGAGTGAGATGGGGCGCTGAGTCAGGAGAGAATGGAATAAAGGAGTCTAAGGTGTGGATCTGGGAACAGAATCTAAAATAAGAAGGTGAAGTTCAGAACTCGAGGGTCACCCACCAAGCCTCCTGCAGGGAGGCTGTGGAGGGGGCAGTAGGGGTCACTCTTACTGGCACAGGAAGACTCTGGCCTCAGGAGCTCTTCCCATAGTCCTCTGAGGCCTGTCCCCAAACCTTCCTGAGAGCTGGGGTTGAGGCTGCGATTTGGGGTGGGCACTGAGCTGGCCACAGTAGGGGGAGGGGGTTTCTGGCAGGATCGGGGTGGGGGGCGCTAGTATCTCAGGAGGTTGGGAGAAGTCAAATTCTGGTTCTCCCACCCACGGTGTGCTGCTGTGGTGACTCAGCCAGGCTCAGACTCTGGCTCCGGGGGGGTTTAGGGGACTTATCTGTGCTGGGAGCTGTGTCTGGGCCAGAGCTGCGGCTGCCTCAAGGCCTGTCCTCCCCCATTGTTCTCCTCTCCCTTTTTGACTGGTGCGGCCCCCCTCCCCAAGCACTAATCTGCGGGTGGGCGCTTTGCCCGGGTTGGGAAGCTCTCACTAAGCTGGGGGGCTTAGAACAATGGGGGGTAAGGGAGGTGGATGAAGGCAGAGGGAGAAAACTCCTGGTTTTCAAGGTGCCTTAGCACCTCAAGGCCAAGGTTATGGGGGGAAGGGCAGAAGGAAAAGCACTTGCTGGGCTGTTTCTGTACCTGTCCTGGATGGGGACTTCAGTGTTCCCTTCCAGGTCGTCTTTTATCTCAAACTCTCAGCACACGCTGGCTCTCTCTGGTGGAGGCTGTTGCTACCTGAGTGAGGGGATGGAAGAGTTAACAAAGGGGAACGAGACCCTAGACGGCTTGGGCCCCAGGCAGAATCCCCCCTCCCCACCAAACCCACACCAGACAACCCTTACCCCAGGCCTGGAGCTAGAGCTGGTTTTTCTGGTGGTGGCACAGTGGAGGCCCTGACAGATTCCCAGGGAGAAGGCTTCTTGGGGGGCCACAGTGCTGGGGGGCCCAGGGGAGTGGCTGGTGGGGGAGACAAGGGTGGGAAGACTTCTCGAAGGAACCTGATGAGCAAGGCAGAGAGAGCTTTTGTTTTGTTCTGCTGGGGAAACCTCGATGGCAATTTCCCATCATCTGGAGGGACAGTGACCTCATCTCTGGGTACCTCCACCTTGAGCCTGAGAGGAATCTGCCCTTAAGTCTTGAGGTGAGGTGGGGAGGGGTGCCAGGCAGCCCTCCAGGCAGGTTGCAAAGGCACAGAGCCACACACCACTGACCAAGGGCAGCCGAGACACACAGACATGCGGAAGCCAAGAGAAACCAACATCAAAATATTTACTATGTGTGCAGAGTTCCGTGAGACAGGAATACCCGTCATGCACGCAGACAGTGTGAGCTGCGCATGGGTTGGTGTGTGCACACACATTCGCGTATACACCATTACGCAGCTCTTCTCTCTGGATGTGGGCGAGTACATGTACTCTCCTAAAGATAAGTCATGTGCTCCCATATGTGCAAAACACCGCAAAGTTCATGAAAGGAGACAGCCTCACATGCGTGTGAATCACCATTTAGACTGGCCAGCCCTAACCCCAAACATGTCCCTGCATTCAGACACAAAAGGCTCATACTTATTCCCTTCCTCCTTCTCACAGACCCCCCGCTAGGACCCCTACCGTGTATCCCCACGCGCACTAGCAGGGAGATGCTGACAGGGAAAGAATCCTTATGAAGAAAGCCCCCTTCCTAAAAGATGCTGTTCTGTGGCTGGGTATCTGCAGCTGCCAGCCTCAGTTTCCCCTCCTGAAATCAGAGTGCAGGCCTCACACAGGAAGGAAAGTTTGGATCTGGACACAGGGTGGGGAGCAGTCCAATAGAGGGCCTGTCTGGGAGCGGGTGGGGTACACAGAGGGCAGGGCCCCAAAGAGGCCCGTGGGGGCCTGGCTGGGGGTGGGGAGGCCGAGGGCTGGGATCCCGTCTGGCCAGTTGAACCTGTTCTCTCCCTTGCGCAAGGTGGCGGCGGCTGTGGCTAGGTCTGCTGCCTTGTGGCAGCTTCTGAGTCACCAAGGCTCCTGACCAGTGTCCTGGTGCTCCCAGGAGGAGGGCAAGGAGGGTCCAGAGGAGGAGCACCCAGTTAGCCAGAGTCCACCAGCCTCAGCAAACAACTTGCAGCAGAAGGGTCCGTGGGCCCAGCCTGACCTGGCCACCACACACCCACTGGGTGACCTCACCAGCAGGCAGTGTGTCTCCTTCGGGCTGGTGACATCATCATCCTGACTCCGGGACGGGCACTGGGTGGGGGAGAAGGAGGAGGCAGCCCTGGCCTGGGCGTGCAGGCTCTCGGGTCAGTTTAGCCGGGACAGGGATTCTAGGGCCTGCCTTCTCTCCTCTTGCAGTGAGTGTGTGTGTGTGTGTGTGTGTGTGTGTGTGTGTGTGTGTGTGTGTCAACTGGAGGACAGTGCTGCGCCAGCCTGAGGTCCTAAATAAATAGCGCATTTAGGACAATGGAAGGGCTGTGGGAGAGATCCAGAAGGGACTTTCCTGTTTTACTGGGTTCCTCATCCTGTAAAACTTGGGCTTGTTCCTTGGGGATGGGGATCTTGGACTCACAGATAGGAACAAGGAGGATGGGGACCCAGTCATGCACTGGGTACCCAGTGCCTGCTGTGCCCTCAGAAGGTAATTTCTGGGGAAATGTGGGTGATGAGCGGTGGGGAAGGGGCAGGCGGTTGGCAAGTGTAGGGATGGGAGTGGGAGATACGCTCTCGGACACTGTCCCAGGAATAGTCTTTAGAAGGATTTGAGTGTCCCAGTGGCGCAGGGCTTGGGATCCCTGTGACCACCACAGGCACTAGTGCCATAAGCAGAGGATAAGCTGGGAAGCCCCCCTCCCCCCACCCCTGCCCTTCCTTTGCAGCGCTGCCCCCTGCAGTGCTGGGTGGAGGTGCCTGGGAGGAGTGGGGTGGTTAGCTGGACTCCCAGGCTGGGCTGGGTGGGACCAGCATCAGTTTAGGCAGGTCAGGGCCCTGGCATCCGGCCCTGCAGGTCTGTCCTGTCCCAGCACGGCCCTCCCAGCTGCCAGCAGCATCCTCCCTCACTCCACCCCTGCCAGTAGGGCCACAGGACCCCCTTTCTGCTCATGCTCTGCCTCACTAGAACCCTCTGGTCTACCTGAGCGGGGCTGTACTTTCTCCCTTCAGGCCTGCTGCTCTCCATGCCCTGTTCTTTCTTTCTCTGTCCAGTCCAGGTGTGCTCCCTTTGGCAGTGAACCCAGCTAGCCAGCCTAGCCTGCCTCCACCGAAAGGTTGCCATGCAACCCCCTCCCTGCCCAGCTCAACCAAGGACAGCTCACTCTTCCTCATTCCTCCTCGTTTCCTTCTTCCACCTGTCTTGTACCTCATTCATTCACCTAGTCATTCATTAAATCAGCCAATAAACATTGAGTACCAATTATGTGCCAGAAATGCAGTGATGTGAGAGCCAGTTTCTACTCCTAAGGAGCTCAGTCTGGTGGAGGAGGAAGACAAGAAAAATATATCAGTTACAGTCCACGGGATAGAGTACTAGGCTAGGGTAGAGTACGGAGGAAGGGCCCCTAATGCTGCCTGAGGTGGAGGAGCAGGCAAGACTTCCAGGAGGAAGTGATGCCTAAGCAGAGGCTTACAGGGTGAGTAGGAGCTCTCCAGACAACAATGAGTTGGAGCTACCAGACAGAGGGAGGAGGGCATTCCAGGCACTGGTAGAGTGTGACAAAGGTGAGGAACAGCAGGGCATGTGAGGTGCTGGGCAGGGGCAGGGAATACAAACTGTTGGGAGCTGCTGGTATAAATTTCAAGACAAGGAGCTCTTGCCACCCTAGAAAGTCCTTCCACTCTGCCCTCAGCCCCCAAACCTATATTTCACATGTTTTATTCCATGGCTCCAAATTTGCTTCATCCTAACCATGAGTCTCCCCAGGCCCTGCCTCCCTCAAAAGTAACTCATCCTAGAAACCTAGGTGTTGTCCTTGAGCCTTTCCTCCCCCTTGTCAAATTTTCTCCAGGAACTGTCCCCTCCTCTGCCCCCGAGCAGCACTACCTCAGGGCTACAGCCACAGCCTCCTGATCTTCAGTCTCCTTATTTTCTAGTCAAACTACACATCACCACCTCCTCATGCCACTCCTTGGCTAAGGAATCTTCAGCGACTCCCCATTTCCTCTTTAAACCAGGAAACCAAACCAGTCGCTGTTGATTCCAACTCATGTTGACCCCCATGTGTATCAGAGTAGACCTGTGCTCCACAGGGTTTTCATGGGCTTATTTTTTGGACGTAGATCACCAAGCCTTTCTTCCCAGATGTCTTTGTGTGGACTCCAGGTGCCAACCTTTGGTTAGCAGCTGAGCTCGTTACCATTTGCGCCACCCAGGGACTCCATTTCCTCTTTACAGAATCTGAATTCCTTTGCCTGGTATGGCAGGTCTTCAGTGATTTGCCCCCACCCCACCTCAACCATATTTTCCACCACTGCTCGACACACACATCCTGCCTTAAGTCCTCTCCTCGCTGCTTCCTGAACCAGCCAGCCTCTCCACCCCCTCGGTGTTTGCTTACCTTGGTTCCTCACCTGGAATGCCTTTCCAGGTCTCTCTCCCCTAATCGTACCCAATTCCTGCCCGAGGCCTTCCCAGATGTCTTGGGCCCAAAGAGACTGCCCCATCCCACAAATGACCTGCAACACACCACTGAGCACTGAATCAGAAACCGTCACCACACGTTCGCACATCTGTCTCCATGTGTTTCCTGCCCCTTGAACAGACCTCAGGTTCCACGTGGGCAGGAACAGTTCCTTATTTGGAGATGAGGTCTATATATGGGTGTCCTTGAGTCTAAAGTCCCTGAGCACTGCATACTACTGCTCCTTGTACCCAGGCTGTGTGCAAAATGCTCACCCTGTGCCTCTGCTCCTCATCCTTGGTCCCTGATTCTGGCTCACCTGTCACTATGTGTCTGCCTTGACCTCATCTCTCTGGGTCTCCGACCTGGGACCTTTCTGTCTTCAGTGACTTGCTCATTTCTGCCTCAAAGCCTCAATTCCGGCCATTCCTCCCACAAGGTACCTCCTTCTCTCTAGAAATCTAGGTCTCTCATCTTCAAATCACGCAAAGACTCTTCGAAAGGGCCTACTGGGACCCTCCCCACCCTACGGCCCCATCCCAGACACCAACTGTTCTTGACCTTTGCTATGGCTCCTGGCCAAACTTACTGAAAGCATTCACTTTGACCCTCATTCATAGGTGGAGGAGCCCTGGTGGCGCAGTGGTTAAGAGCTTAGCTGCTAAACAAAAGGTCAGCAGTTCAAATCCACCAGCTGCTCCTTGGAAGCTCTATGGGGCCGTACTCCTCCGTCCTGTCAGATTGCTATGAGTAGGAATTGACTTGACGGCAATGAGTTTGGTTTTTTGGTTTTGGTAGGTTGAGCCTTCTGTGAAAGTGTCGATCTGGGGCTTCCCTGTTTCTACGCATATACATTCCATTTCCCTGAGAGTACTGCGAGCTCCTGAGAGCAAAGGCTGGGTCTCGGTGTCCTGTTATAGTCTCCCCCCTTACAACTGCTCAGCATACAATCCTGGGCTGGGAGAGGGATGTGGCTCTTCCATAAATCATCAGCGTGGCCTTAAGCAAGTCACTTCTTCTCTCTGGGCCTCAGTTTCCTCATCTGTTAAATGGCCATGATAACACCTACGCCTTGGGAATGTTCTGTGGCTCTGATGAGGTAATAAACTAAAAGCGCTTTGCAAGCATAAAATGTTCCAGGAGCTCCGGCTGCCTTTGCTGTCATTATCATTATGAATAAGTGTTTCCCCGGCTCTGGCAGCGCCCCTAATCCTGGCTGCCCTTGTCTGCCCCCTGCAGGCTGGTGCTCGGCAGGTGAGCTGGAGTCGTCGGATCTGGTGACTGTGGTGTTGGGCCAGGATGCAAAGCTGCCCTGCCTCTACCGCGGAAATCCTGACGAGCAGGTGGAGCAGGTGGCTTGGGTTCGGGTGGACGTGGCGAAAGACGCCGGTCAGCTGGCGATACTGAACTCCAAATACGGGCTGCACGTGAGCTCGCCCTACGAGGGCCGCGTTGAACAGCCACCGCCCCCACGGGACCCCCTGGACGGCGCCGTGCTCCTGCGCAACGCTGTTCAGGCCGATGAGGGCGAGTATGAGTGCCGCGTCAGCACCTTCCCCGCCGGCAGCTTCCAGGCGCGGCTGCGGCTCCGTGTGCTGGGTAAGTGCAGTCGGCTGGGTGAGGTCGGGGCGCCGCGCGGGGCGGGGGGCGGGGGGCGGGGTCCGGTGTGTGTGCAGAGGCACCCGGCTTGGAGTCTTGGTAAGGAGAAACTAGAGACGGGGGGAGCAGATATGGGAACTGCAGAGATGGACCGGGGAGGGCAGAACAGGAATAACAAGTGGGGTCCTGTAAGAACGAGGGGGCCACAGGGTTTGAAGGAAGTGAACTCATCCCGCTCATCCTTCCATCCAATTCAGAAATTCTCTCCAAGTGACTCCAACGGGTTGAGATAGTTTGGTCAGCCTTGGAACTGCCAGGGCCCCCTGTGGGAAGAGTCCATTGATGAGGAAGTTCTTCTTTCCATGGAACTGATATCTCCCTCCCTTACTTTCGCCTCTGAAGCAATATAGCACAGGCTTATTCGCTCTCCTGCACAACAGCCTTTCAAAGAGATGAGGACCTTTGCCATGTCCCACCCAAATCTACTCTTCTCCAAGCTCAACTTACTGGTTCCTGCATCTGTTCCACCAAAGACACTGATTCAAAGGCTCCTTTGCCATCTGGACTCCATTCTTTTAAAATGTGGAGCCCAGATGTGGACACACAGGTCTAGCTTTGGTGTGGCCTATGCGTGGACCAGTGGGGCTAACACTTTCCCTGATCTGACTGTGAGTGAATGTGGTCTGAGATCACAATAGGTTTTTTTTTGTATTGTGGTAAAATATATATAACAAAACATTTGCCATTTCAACCATTTTTAGGTATACAATTCAGTGCACAATAGCCTTTTAAACCACCACTGTCACTGTGGGCATTCAGGGTCAGCTGATGCCCTTGACCTATGGTCAGGTTAAGTCTTTCCCATTCTGTGCTTGTGCTGTTGATGTTGTGAAGATAAAAATATGAGCCTTTGTATTTTACCTTTATTTACACAGAAGTTAGTAACACCAGCCTTGGAGCAGAAAAGTCTGAGCACGGAGCTCGGTTTGTCACCTAATAGCTGATGACATAAGACAAGTCATTTACCCTCCTTGAGCTTCAATTTCTTCACCTGTAAAATAGAGATAATAATACCTACTTCACTGGTTTGTTGACAAGATTAAATGAAATAATGTTTGTAAAGAGTTTAGCATAATGCTTGGCACATTACCCATTGCATCTGATCAATTCCGACTCATAGTGACTCTATAACATAGAGTAGAAACCATGGGGTTTCCAAGGAGTGGCTGGTGGATTCAAACTGCTGACCTTTTGGTTAGCAGTCATAGCACTTAAGCACTATGCCACCAGGGCTCCACGCTTGGCACAAAGTAAGTGCTTAAAGAATGAAGTAATTTAAAAAACTAACCAAATAGCATCTACATCATAATAATAATAGCTGCCACTTAGAAAGCACTTGCTTGGCACATAGTAAGTGCTTAATAAGTGGCAGCTACTATTATAGAGATGTTTTTGGTTAGTTTTTTTAAAATTACTTCATTGTTTTTATTTAAAAAATGACCCATGCTCACTGTAAAAAATTCAGACGCTGAAGAACGGTACAAAGACAAGAGTTAAGAGTCACCTGAAATGCTACCATTCATCTTTGGTGGTGAAGTAAGAGATGGTAAAGGGGCCTGAAACTTGGCACCTGTGCAAGACTGAGATAGGAGGAGGCTGAGCCTCCTGATGGGTTGTGCGGACCCCTAACCTGGCTTCCCTCTGCCTGCAGTGCCTCCCCTGCCCTCGCTGAATCCTGGTCCAGCACTAGAAGAGGGCCAGGGCTTGACCCTGGCAGCCTCCTGCACAGCCGAGGGCAGCCCAGCCCCTAGTGTGACCTGGGACACAGAGGTCAAGGGCACGGCCACTAGCCGCTCCTTCAAGCACTCCCGCTCTGCCGCTATCACTTCGGAGTTCCACTTGGTGCCCAGCCGCAGCATGAATGGGCAACCACTTACCTGCGTGGTGTCCCACCCTGGCCTGCTCCAGGACCAAAGGATCACCCACATTCTCAAAGTGGCCTGTGAGTACTGGGATGCTTGGGTAGGGACTCCCATGGGCTCTGAGAGGGTTGGTGAGACACCATGAGCTGCACCAGGCTGGTCACCCTAGATCCTAGAGACTACCTCGTGTGGCCGAGAGAGCACTAGTCCAAAGATAGAAGACCTGGAGTCCAATGCCAGATGACCTTGGCAAATCGCTTAGACCTTTCTGAGCTTCAGTGTCCTCATCTTTACAAAGGTGATGGTTCTGCTTCCCTGGGCTGTTGGGAAAATCGAATATAAAAATGGAATTGAAAGCACGTTGCAAAATACACAGTTTAAGATTTGTTGTTTTTGTTGTTGTGTGCTGTTGAGTGGATTGAGGAGAACTGGCCTATAGGGTTTCCAAGGCTGTAATCTTTACAGGAGCAGATCACCAGGTCTTTTCTCCCAGAAAGCCACCGGTGGGTTCAAACCTCCGACCTTTCAGTTAGCAGCCAAGCCCTTAACCATTGTCCACTAAGGTGCTTTAGTTCAAGGTTCGGAGGCAGATAGATTTGGGACAGCCCTAGCTCTACTATTTACCAGCTGTTGCTTAATCTTGGCTTCAGTTTCTTCATCAGCAAAAAGAGTATAATTACACCAACTTTACAGGGTTTTGATGAGAATTAGAAACCCTGAGTGCAGAGTACCTTGCACGGTGCTTAGCCCGTAGAATGTACTCAGTAAATGGTAGATAGTTTTCCCAGCATTAGACTTTGAGCTCCTGAGAGGATAGGACTGTTTTCAATTCATATTGACCCAGCACTTGGCACAAAGTAGGCCCTCAACAAATGTTTGTTAAACAAATGAATGAACGAAGGTGATTGTTAAACCTCCAAAGAATCAGGGAGCATTCATTGAGCACCTGTTCTGTGACTAGCAATATACTTGGCACCATGGGGGATTCGGAAAAAGGGCGACACAATTGCTACCCTAAGGGACTTAGAGATTGATTGCACAGGTAAACCACTGTGGACTCTCTGAGCTTAGAGAGGGGAGGGAGGTGTGTGGCCGGGAGCTGTCAGCGAGGTGGGGCCAGGCTAGACTTTGGCAGCTGATACGTAGGATGGAGAAGGGCAGGGGGAGACTATTCCAGGCAGGGTGGAGCATAGGGCGGGTACTCTTTGAGGAACAGCATGATCAAAGGCATCACTCCCATTCTTTCTCCTCCCACCTCCCATTCCAGTTCTCACTGAGGCCTCTGTGAGGGGCCTTGAAGACCAAAAGCAGTGGCATGTTGGCAGAGAAGGAGCTATGCTCAAGTGCATGAGTGAAGGGCAGCCCCCTCCCTCATACAACTGGACTCGGTGAGGACCCAGACCTGGGGAAGCGGCTAGCTTTAGGCCAGGTCCCTTCCCACTTAGGACCAGTGTACACTCATTATGGGACTGGGACAATATATTCTGAACCCAGATAAATTGGGTCACGTGTTCAGGTCAATACAAGAATATGGACGAGGTCACCAGATCTTACTATTGGCTTGCCTCAGAAAATTTAGGATACAGGGTCATTGGCTGGGAATAAGCTAAAGAAATCAGAGCGCTGGCATCCTTGGCTTTTTTTTTTCTAACTTTTAAATTGTGAAGTATGACACAGGATTTAAATATTAATGTTTTATATATTTATATAAGTACACAAAGTACATAAAGCAAAAATGTGTAGCTGACTGTAATTGTTGTAAAACCAACACTTATATAATCACTACAACACGGCCGGATCTTCAGAAGCACCCCTGCTGCCCCTGAGCAGTTCCCGCGAGGAGTCCTTGGCATTTTTCCAGGGTCTGAGTGTCCAGAGAATCAGGGAAGGGTCAGGTGCACAGGCGTGTTCTCACATGTGAGACTATAAGCTGTGCGTGTGGCCTTGGGCCTGGGGCTATGTTCATGTGCCCTGCCATACAACCTCACGGGTGTTGGAGCATTGCAGTCACATTTTCCACATACATCTGAGCCCAGATAGGAGTGGAGGGCCCTGTCGTGTGGATGTTATAACATGTATGCGCCCCGCTGCAGCCCTGTCCTGGTACCCACTGCTGAATGACATGATGCCTGAGGGCGCATGTGGGATGGCACGCGTGTGGATCTTCCCCGAGTGTGTGCGGGGGGTGCCTGGGTCAGGCTGGGCGGCAGGGAGAAGGGGCCTCTGCCTAGACCTGCCTAGGGAAGGGAGGGGCACCGTGGGAACAGCCGGCGGCTCTGAATAACGTCATGGGGGAGAGAAGTGGAGAGCTGCCCAGGCACGTTGGGTGGTGGTAGCCTCAGCCCGCACCAGCCGGCACCCATCAGCTTCCCTGTCCTCCAGGCTGGATGGGCCCATGCCCAGTGGGGTCCGAGTGGAAGGGGCCACCCTGAGCTTTCCCCGGCTGACCACTGAGCACAGTGGCACCTACGTTTGCCGTGTCAGCAATGAGCTTTCCTCGAGGGATTCTCAGGTCGATGTGGATGTTCTTGGTAAGCACTGGGAGTAGAGCTGAGGGTCCTGGGCATGGGGCCTGGTGTGGGCAACAGGAAGCAGGACAGAGGGAGTGAGCTGGGGAAGTATTTAAGTGCAGGGGGCCGGACTGTATGTATTTTGCAGGGATCAGGCGAGGGGGTGGTTTGGGATGTTTTGGGAGGACAATGTGTGTGGGGCTGTGGGACCTAGGGCGGGTGGGCAATCTGGGCATTCACGTCAGACAGTGGCTTGTCTCCAGCAGACCTTCGGGATGCCAGTGTGAGGGAGGTGGACCTGGTATCTGCCTCGGTGGTGGCAGTGGGGGTGATCGCCGCACTCCTGTTCTGCCTTCTGGTGGTGGTGGTGGTGCTCATGTCCCGATACCATCGGCGCAAGGCCCGGCAGATGACCCAGAAATAGTGAGTACTGGCCACTCCTGGGCGGGTGGAGGAAGCTGGGAACCAAGAGGAGGCAAACAAGAGGTGGGCCAGGACCCAGGAGAGAGAGGAGATGACCTGATGTCTGGGAAGCTTATGGACCAGAGAGGTGGGCAGGGTCTTTCCAGAGGTGATAAGGAGCTTGGGCGTGGACCACAGCGGGCTAAGGGAACCCTCTACCTGAGGATCAGATGGATGTACCCGAATTCACCAAGTTCATACACTTGTGGGCACACACGGGTGCACACATGCTGTTCAGGCCCCTCACCCATGCATACACAAAACCAAAAACCAAACCCATTGCCGTCAAGTAGATTCCAACTCATAGCTGACCCTATAGGACAGAGTAGAACTGCCCCAGAGGGTTTCCAAGGAGCAGCTGGTGGATTCAAACTGCTGACCTTTTGGTTAGCAGCCAAGCTCTTAACCACTACGCAGCCAGGGCTCCAATACGTCTACAGACTCTCAGCCAATACTCCCAGCCACACTGCCACCTACAGGCACACACTCGCACTTGCAGAGATCGCAGAGCTTCCGGCCCTGTCTTACGGAGGGTGGGCCAGCCTGGGCTTACCTCAGGAGGCTACCACTACCCTCAGCTCCTGACAAGACGGTGTCTTTCCCAGTGAGGAAGAGCTGACCCTAACCAGGGAGAACTCTGTCCGAAGGTTGCATTCTCATAACGCGGACCCCAGGAGCCAGGTGGGTGCCAAGGGTGGGTGCATGAATGGGTGTTCCCCCACTGGGGTTTGCTTGTGCCTGGGCCCCTCTGCAGGCAGGAGCACCGGGTCTGGCCTCCTCCAGGTCTGACTGCTGACTCATAGCTGCGGCTGGGCGGGGGGTCGACTTGGGGGTGCAGCTGCTTTGGGTCTGCTGGGGCTCCTCTGGAAGGCCCCCTTCAGCACTGGCCTAGGGGCTGCTCTGGGAAGCCACTATCACTGGTTCCAGGGTGGGATTGGAGGAGGCGAATGAGGGTGTTTGTGTCCAGGAAAGAGTGGACCTGTCGGGTTGGGGGACAGGTGATCAGGGAGGAGGCTGGTGGAGGACAGAGGTGAAGAGGCTGAGGGGAGGAGGCTGAGCTCTGTTCTAACCCCTCCCCCATGTCCGGGCCCTGCAGCCGGAGGAGAGTGTAGGGCTGAGAGCCGAGGGCCACCCTGATAGTCTCAAGGACAACAGTAGCTGCTCTGTGATGGTGAGGCCCCCGGCCCCACCGGTGTCCCCACCACTCTCATCAGGCCCCTCTCCTGGTCCCAGATGTGGTGTGTCAGCAGCCCCCTCACCAGTCCCGCTCCCCTCTGCTCTGGCTTTCACTGCCTAGCCCACATCTCTGCTATGCTCTGTGCTCCTGTCTCCCCTCCCCCTGCCTACCATGGGTTCCTGGCCCCTGACCTCTGAGACAACCTAAACCCCTGCTGGGGCCTGACCTCTGGCCCCGCCCTGCCCCACCTGTGCCCAGCTTTGTGTCTGGCTGCCCTTGTCTTGGCTCCTGACTTGCTCTCTGCCCTTGTTTTCCAGAGTGAAGAGCCAGAGGGCCGTAGTTACTCCACGCTGACCACGGTGAGGGAGATTGAAACACAGACGGAACTGCTGTCTCCAGGCTCTGGGCGGGCAGAGGACGAAGAAGATCAGGATGAAGGCATCAAACAGGCCATGAACCATTTTGTTCAGGAGAATGGGACCCTTCGGGCCAAGCCCACGGGCAACGGCATCTACATCAATGGACGGGGGCACCTGGTCTGACCCAGGCCTGCCTCCCTCCCCTAGGCCTGCTCTTCTGCTGACATGGGGGATTTCAGCTCATCTTAGGGGGCTCTTAAATGCTTCTATTTCTTGAGGAAGATGCTCCCACCCCAATGACTGCTCAACCTTTTCCTCCAACCCTTTGTCCCAGGTTGGGGGGGCTCCACTGGCTGAGTCCCTCCCACGAGTGTGCAGGTCACTGCGTGTGCATTTGTGCTTGTGTGAGTGTTGCTGGCTGTGAGTGTCCAGAAGGGTGACTGTGTCCTGAGTGTGTGCACGTCATGGTGTGGCCCTGCTTGCTACCAGGTCAGAGTCCGAGTGAACCGTGGTGTGTGCGTGTGCCCCAGGATCGGGGTGACTGTGTGGGGAACGATGTTGGGGGTTTGTGTGTCGTGTGGCTGTGTGTGACCTCCGCCTGTGAATGCAGGTATTTTCCTCACACCCTAGAGCAGTATTAGTGATGCAGAGGTTGGAGGTGAGAGATTGAGACTGGGGGCCAGATCCAGATGTGCAGGCATAGCTGGGCTGGAATCTAGCCTCCTGGGTGGGGGGAGCCAGGCCACCCCGACCTGGGAGCGGTCAGGGAAAGTGTGAAGCAGCCAGCTGGCCTTGGGTTCTACCAGAAGCTCCAACTGTTAACAGTCGAAGCCCTCTGCCCTCTGGTGGCCTCTGGGCCAGCTGTGTGTACAGATTTTCTGTAAATATACCCGCACATGGGGAGCTTCTTCAAGGAATACTGTTACAGATCCTTTAATAACGGAAAAAAACATTTGGGAAAAAAGCTTTTGGTTCATCTGGACATTTGTTGCTGGAATTGTTAACAATTGTTTACAACTCTGTGCTGGAATTCAACAAAACTAGACCTCGCTCGGACTCCATCCTGAGGGGTCAATTCTTGCGGCTCTGAAAGGTGCTCCTTCTGAGGTACGTTCATCTAGGCAGCGCCTTGGAGGCAGCCTGAGGAGGGGCTGCTGTGTGAATTAGGAGGGCGAGCCTCCACGGTTACTGGCTAAGGGAGGACAGGGCAGGGTCCTTGGCCCTAGTAGCCCTTCAACTCTTTCCCTTGCCTTGTCTTTATTTTAGCTATAGCCACAGTTGTTTGTGGTCCTCTGAGGAGTTGCTGGGGCTTGGTGACAGGGCTCCTGGTTCAGCTGTGGTGTAGGGAAGAGAGGGTATTGATTACAGACCAAGGGATGGGGGGAATCCAGGTGAGGTGAAGTCAATGCTTGGGTACAAATGCCTCCTTTTCCCCCAGGGGTTCCTGGGTTTCTATCTCAGGTCCCTTTGGGAAGATTCCCTAGGTGGGAGCTGGGGTTGGATGATATCTATTTTTGCCTGGTTCACCCAAACACACTCAGCCAGAATACCTGGCTTTCATGCCCAAGCCTGCTTGGCCTGGAATCTGCTGGGTTTCTGGACCGAAGGAGAGACTCTCATCCCCCGCTCTCCAGGCAGCCCAAGACTTCAAATATCTCATTTCTATGTGTATATTTTGTGTAAATATGTTCATATTTGTACATAAAGTGATATTCTGTTTTTAAATAAACAGATAAAACATGTTACGCCTGATTGCTGTCTTGCCCCTTGGCCTGTGTTAGCCTGAATCTCTGTGCTCCCCGTCTCAGGAACGTCCTCCCTGTGGTCCCAAGTAGAGGAGGAGTTAGGACGCGCGTAGCTGGGAGGGGAAGGGGAAAGAACTGGCCTCCACAAGACCTTCGGGCATCTTTGCGAGTCCCCGGTAGGCCAGTGGAGCTAAGAGTTCTTTCCGATGTCTTAATTTGCAAAGTGTTTTAAATCCTTTCTTGTCCTGGAGTCTCATAACCACAGCCCTGTAAGGTAGACAGCAGTGTACCCATTTTACAGGTAAAGAAACTGAAACTCAAGTTAAATATGTCACAGAGTGTTAGAGCTGGGAGGATTGAAAGATCATCTAATCCATTCTTCATTTTCATAGATGCAGAAACTGAGGCTCAGCGAGGTAATGTGACTTGACTGAGGTTATAGGCCCGTCAGAGGCAGAGCCTGGGCATCCTCCCTCCTGGGTGTGCTGTGCACAGCCCTGTGCCACCTTGCTCCCAGCCAAGCCTCGGGTCTCCACCTCGGACCCCAGGATTCTGGTCCCCAAGGGTCTCAGTCACCTGTTCCCATCTTAGGTGCCACCACCCCACCCCAGGGCTCTGACATCACTGCCCCTGGACCAATGAGCGCAGTTCCAGAGATGACTGAGGAGGTACATGTCAGCTACCTCCCCCACCCAGGCCCTGTGGTTAAAAAGATGCTCTAACAGGAAGTGGGTTTGAGAAGCTGCACAGCTTCCTGCCCCCCCACCCCACCCCAAGGTCTGAGCGGGCCGAGCAGGGCGAGTGCCAGGCTGGGCCACGAGACACAGCTTCTTGCCAGGGTCCTGGAGCTTCCTCTTCCATAGCCACTTCCGTGTGATCGGGGCCCCAGAGGCAGGAGCTTCGACCCGTTGCCCAGGCCACCCTCCACCCCCAGTTCGGAGCCCTGCCTCCCTGGGGCCGGGCCAAGCCCAGAGGCTGGCTTGGGATCCCATGGGGGGCTGGTAGAGGTCTTGGGGGACAGAGGCGGCTGGGCCAGAGCCCTGGGGCTCCGGCCATGAAGTCTCGGCAGAAAGGAAAGAAGAAGGGCAGCTCCAAGGAGCGGGTGTTTGGGTGTGACTTGCAGGAGCACCTGCAGCACTCAGGCCAGGAGGGTAAGGAGGCCAGCGGAGAGCTGCTGTTGGGTGGGTGGGAGGCATGGAGCTTCTCCCGCCGGCTCTAGTCTGAGGGGCAGAAGCAGCTTCCGGGTGCTTCTGGGGTAGGGACAGCAGCCCAGGGTCACCACCCAAGAGGCTGATGGGCGGCAAGGCAGGAAATGCGGCTCAGTGAAGAAGGCAGGGTAGCTTCCTTGTGCAACTACCTGGGGATGGGGCCCTAAGGAGATGGGCGTGGGAGCATTGAGAGAGCGCTGAGGGAGAGGATGGAGAGGTTGGAAACTGAAGACAGGTGGAAGAAGTGGAAGTGGAGGGGAAGGAGATTGGGGACTGGAGAGGGAGCTGAGGGGACAGGTGCAGGGGAGGAGTGGCCAAGGAGCAATAGGTGGTTCTTGGGGCCGAATGAAAGGAGACAGGAGAAGTGCCCCATGAGAGTCTGAGGACGGCACTTGGGAAGGATGGGGGTTTCCTAGTTGGAAGAGAGAGCCCGGGGCAAGGTTGTGGGCTACGGCCCCTCCTCAGTCTTGCTGGCCCACTGGTGAGGATCTGGGGTGAGGCTAGCCCCCTCTCCCAGTCTCTGTGATTCTTTGGTTCTCCTGTGCAAAAGAGAAACAGATTCTAAGTGGAGGGTGCGGGAAGAAGCTGCTGAAATGGGGACTACAGGAAGAGTCAAAGAGATGGCTGGAGGCCTGGTTTGAAGATGCCAGTGGCGAGGGCAAAGGAGAATGAGTATGAGGACTATCTGTGGAGCTTGCTCGGGTCCCTTTCTGAGTTGCCTGGGAGTGGGCTAGGAAGCCAGCAGAAGCAGGGACAACACAGGACCCACACTGCACCTGGCACAGAGTAGACACTCAATGAGTTGATTTGAAATTGATCCTAAGTATCCTGGCAGCCCAGCCCAGCTTGTTTTCAGCACTTTGAATTCCTCCCAGAGAGTGGCACGATTCTTTCCCCCACACCCCACCCCAATCTGTCATTTCCTCTTTGTCCCCTCTTCTGCTCTGGGACTGTAGCGCTTGCAGTGGAGGGAGGGTGGTGGTGGTTCCCAGCTCATTTCCTGCTCCCAGCCCCGCCCCTGCCTCCCCAGACACCTCCTTCCTTTTTTCTCCTCCCCTGAGAAGGCCCCCATCCCCACTGGCCTCCTCAAGGGAAAGTCCAGGCCCCAAGGAAGAATCTTAACCAGCCCAGGTGGGGCTGCTCTGAGCCTTCCTTTCCTGACGGCAGAGTGGACCTGGCTCAGCTGCCAGTTTACTCCTTAACAAGGGGTTTCTCTTGAGAATGATGATTGTTGGCCAAGGGCCACGTTATTTAACTGGGGCTGATTTTCTCCTAGCTCTTTGCAAATCCTCATCCTGGCACTGCCCTTCCCTCTGGCCCACCTGCCAGTCTTATCTTGAAACACTGAACACACAGTCAGCTAGACCCCACTTCTTTAACCCTTCCTGGCCTCCATCTGCGTTCCCAGCAGGTTTGGGGCATGCTCTCCAGAGAGGATAGACATCTGGTTGCTGGGTCCTGATCCTGGGTGAATCCCACAGCGAGAGAGAAGTGCCCCTTGCCGTCACTAGAACCTCACCTGAGCCCAAAGGTGGAGTGATCTTGGGTGCTAGAGTCATAGAGGCAGCCCACTCCCCTATCCCTTTACCTCCTCCTGGTACATGAAGGTGGAAAGTAGAGGAACAAAGTTGGTGATGGCTTCTCTTGTTAACCCAAGACCTAGCAAGAAAATGAAAGACCAGGCCAGTGGGGACATGTGTTTCTGGTTAATTTATCTTCTCGGACTGTTGGTTTCCCTGTCCTTACCCCCTTGCTCCATCTCAGCCCCTTCTCCCAGCTCTTTGCCCACAGGTGGGTCTCTTCCTTCCCTAAACCCTATATGTATTAAGTTCTTCCTGCTCCTAATCCTTGTATCTTTACTCCCTTGTTAAGATTTCTGATTCTCCAGGTTGCTAAGCTTGGGGGCCTCCTCCCTGACCCATCCCTGTTTCCTTGATGTCTCCAGCCCTTTGATTCCATCACCCCCAAGCCTACCTCTAACTTTTATCTCTGACCCCACCTCTCTTATCTCCTTGAAAACCCATCTCTCTGATCTCTGTTTCTCTTCCTCCATCTCTTTGACCCATTTCCTCTATGGCTCTGACTCCTTAGGCTCTTGAATGCCTTCTTTAAAGGCCTTCTCAGAAGGTTCAAAATCAACGGAGAAAGACAGGAGGGGGAAGAGCTGGTTTGGTTGCCTGGCTCAGTTCATAGGAAAGGAACCTGGGTGTTTTAGGTGACAGTAGACTCTTTATAAGTCAATAGAGTAATGCAGTGGCCAAAAGAGTGGGTGTAGAGCTTCCAAGAGCAGAGCAGCAGCTCAAACGAGGGGGGTATACCCCATCTTTGCATTCAATGCTGCGGACCCAAGGTTGAAGGATGCTGGCAAGTGGGAGCAGGTCTTGATGGTATGTTATCCCTCAGAACCAGGACTAATGGGAGGTGAAAGAGGTACCTAGGGTGAAAATTTGAGAAGCACTCATTCTCAGGTATGCAAGTGTACTATGTGCCACATTATTAAGGAGGCACTTACTCTTAAGATTGTGCAAGTGCGGAGCTGGCACTTGGACAACGCTGAGAGTGAGCGCTTCCTTAAATTTTGCACCCTAGGTGCCTTGTTTGTCTCATTCTAGTCCTGACTCTGGTGTGCAGGAAGGTGAAGGGTCTGGAAACCAGGTCACATAAGGAGAGTTTAAACGTAGTGGTTGGTAGATTTATTGGTTGTTTCTTTCATTCCATATTATGCGTTTCTATCTGACTTTATTCCACAAAGAGCTTGGGATGACTTTTCACAACTCAAAACTTTACAAAAGATAGAATAAATGACTGAAGGAAGTGGGTTGAAGGAAAAACAAGAGTAAGAGTGAGATCAGCACCCAGAAATGCATGTCAGGTGGTTCTATATGGTTCCTGGAGGTGGGCTCTGAGATTCCTAGTGGTTAAAGTAAAGAGGTAAACATGATCAGGGGTAAGATTCAAAAGGCCCATAAGAAAAGAAAAGGGGGAAAAAAAAACAGAATGGTTCAGGAGAAACACAGCTTCTTCTGACACTCAGATCTGAGAGGAATTTCTCTGGTGGTCCTGTAGATAGGACCCAATGTTCTGCTGTAGGCAATATTCTCTGTTAAATATCCAAGGGATGCCTCTGATTCTCATAATTGATTGATTAATTTATTGAGTCATTTAACAAACATTTATTGAGCACCTGCTCTATTTCAACACTACTAAATACTGGGAAGGAAGTTACTATTTGTCAGAAGGTATAGATACAAAATAAACTAATCATAATAAAGTGCAATCAGTACTATAATGCAGATATGAGTAAAGGGTTTGAGATGTGTTTTGAAGAATGTATAGGAGTTCACTGGGCAGAGTCAGAGGAGAAGGTGTTCCAGGCAAGGGAATAACATGAGTGATGGTACCAAGGCTTGTTCATGGACTAGCAAGGGCTGACTCATAGGATTTGTAGGAGGAATCGGCGAGAGCTGAGGCTGGAATAGTGGCTGGACCTGGTTTGTGAAAGGTCTTATACGCCATACCGAGAAGTTTATACTTTATTCTGTATCTGTAAGGTAAGCAATGGGTATTAGGGTGCGGTGGAGCGGAGTATGTTTGTAGTAAAAGACTTAAATCAGGGACGTGCTTTGGAAAGAACCGTGTGGTCATGTGAAGACTGGATTTGACACATGGTTTTGAGGGTCTACATATCTAAGAGGGAGCCCTGGTGTTGCAAATGATTAAGTGCTTGTCTGCTAACCAAAAGCTTGGCAGTTCAAACCCACCCAGTGGCTCTGAGGGAGAAAGACCTGGCGATATGCTTCTGTAAAGAGTATAGCCAAGAAAACCCTATGGGCAGTTCTACTCTGTTGTGTGCTGTCAACGTGAGTTAAAGATGACTCAACGGCACCTAATAACAACAACACCATGTCTGAGAGGAGTCCCTGGATGGCACAAATAGTTAAATGCTCAGTTACTAACCAAAAGGTTGGCCGTTCAAATCCACCCAAAGTGCCTTGGAAGAAAGTCTGCTTGGCGACTTACTTCTGAAAGCTCATTACTGTTATTGTGTGCCATCTAGTCAATTCTGACTCATAGTGACCTTATAGTTACAGCCATCGAAGACCCTATAGAGCACAGTTCTACTCTGAAACACATGGGGCCACCATGATTCGGAATCGACTGGACAACAGCTAGATTGGGTTCTTTTTTTGGTACCATGTCTGAGACACTGTGTCAGATAATATAAACAATACCAAGATGGATCATACTTAGATCTTGTCATTAAGGAGTTTACAGTCTAGAAGCAGTGAAAGGGGGTCCAGGGTCCAGGGAGATAATACAGCTTTTTAGACTCTTGAATTTTAATCCTGGGTCTAGCTGTGTGGTACTAAGGACATATTATTTCTTGGATCTCCAGTTTTCTTATTCGTAAAATGGGGACTAGAATACCTAATTTACAGGACTAAATGATAGAACATACATAAAGCAGTTAGCACAGTCCTGGGCACATAGGTGTTTTTCTCCTCCTGAATTGACATATTTGAAGGTCTGTCACTATTTTGTATACCTTCCCGGGCAGAACTAGTATCCATGAACTTACTTGCCAAAGAGGATGCTTCTTGGTAGTCCCCATCAGCCCTGTTCCATTTTGATTAAGACAACTCAGAGTTCCTTTATCTTACACACAATGTTATGCAAATTTACTTTCCAGACCAGTCCTTTACACTGCCTCCCCTTCCAACCAGATTGCTGATCCTATAAAAATTCTAAAGCAGCAACCAATAACTAAACCAGTTGCTATGGAGTAGATTCTGACTCATGGTGACCCCATATGTGTCAGAGTAGAACTGTGCTCCGTAGAGTTTCAATAGCTTAATTTTTCAGAAGTAGACTGCCAGGTGCCTCGGTGTGGAGTTTAACCTCCAACCTTTCCGTTAGCAGCTGAGTACGTTAACCATTTGCACCACCCAGGGACTCTAACTAGTAATTACAGAGAGACAAATTTCAGCACAACTTAACTCAGAACTTTCTCACAAAGGAATGGGCTCTCTGGAGAAGGAGTAAGTGCCCATCACTAGTGGGGTTTTTGTGTGGCTCTAGGACCCGACGGGCAAAGATATTGTAAAGGGGTTGGTGGGTATGATCAGGAAGAATCTTTCTGAAAGTTTTTATTCCATGAGCTTCACCCACAGTTTCCTCAACACCCCCTTCCCTGTGCTCCCATCTATCAGGCCCCTTGCAGTCTCTGACTTCCCAGACCTGATTTCTCTTTCTCTGCACCACCTGTGTTCCCAGTGCCCCAGGTGCTAAGAAGCTGTGCAGAGTTTGTGGAGGAGTATGGAGTGGTGGATGGGATCTACCGCCTCTCAGGGGTCTCCTCCAACATCCAGAGGCTCCGGTGAGTCCGGCAGAGCTGGGAGGGCTCTGAGGCCAGGAGGCCAGGGAGCCAGAGGACCATGGTGGTGGGTGTTGGGGAGAGTAGAGAGGAGGGGTGAGGGGAAGGGGAGATGGAAATACAGATGCTAGGTACTGTCTTAGAGAAGAGTGCCAGAATCTCCTCAGGAAAGAAAGATTGAGACTGCCCAACCCCCTGCCAGCCCAGCATACACACACACACACACACACACACACACACAGCTTTTTTTTTCTTTTTGAATTTGGCTAAAATTCACACATTATAAAATTCACCATTTTAGAATATGCAATTTGTTGTTTTTTAATATATTTACGATGTTGTGCAATCACTACCACTAAATAATTCCAGAACATTTTCATCACCCCAAAAAGAAACCCCGTATCCTTTGGTAGTCACTCCCAATTTACCCCTTCCCCAGCCCCTGGCAACCTTAATCTACTTTCTGTTTCTATTTGTCTATTCTGAACATTTCATATAAATACAGTATCATACAATGTATGGCTTTTTGTGTCTAACTTCTTTCACTTAGCAACATGTTTTCAAGGTTCGTCCGTGTTGTATTATGGATCAGTACTTCATTTCTTTTTATGGCCAAATAATATTCTATTGTATGTATATACCACGTTTTGTTTTTTGATCCATTCGTTGATGGATATTTGAGTTATTTCTACTTTTTGCCTATTATGAATACCGCTGCTATGGAGATTCATACATAAGTTTTTGTGTGAACATATCTTTTTAATTCTTTTGGGTATACCAGTGGAATTGCTGGGTCCTATGGTAACTCTAAATTTAACTTATTGAGGAACTGCCAAACTGTTTTCCATAGTGGCTGCACCATTTTACAATCCCACCAGCAATATATGAAGGTTCTAATTTCTCTCCATCCTCACCAACACTTGTTATATGTCTTTTTGATTATAGCCATCTTGGTGGGGGTGAAGTAGTATTTCACTGTGGTTTTGATTTGCATTGCCCTGATGACCAGTGATGTTGAACATCTTTTCACATGCTTATTGGCCTTTTGTATATCTTCTTTAGAAATGTCCGTTCAAATCCTTTGCCCATTTTTTAATTGGGTCATTTTTCTTTTTATTGTTGAGTTGTAAGAGATCTTTATAGATTCTGGATACTTGACCCTTATCAGATACGTGATTCGCAAATATTTTCTCCCCTTCTGTGGGTTGTCTTTTCACTTTAATAGTGTGTCTTTTGACAAGCAAAAGTTTTTAATTTTGATGAACTCTAACTTATCTACTTTTTCTTTGGTTGTTTGTGCTTTTGGTATCATATCTAGGAAACTGTTGCCTAATCCAAAGTTATGAAGATTTACCCCTGTTTTCTTCGAAAAGTTTCATCCACCCCTCTTTACACATCGCAAAAATACCTACTTAGGTTCATTCCCCCACTTCTACTGTCTCCTACATACCCCTACTCACATCTACAGATGCATCCCTGACACATGGGCCTGTTCACACGCAGATCTGTCACTCATGCTCTTCTTACCCATTTTCACATCCACATCTTCACGTCTACATATATAATGCCTTATACTTGCTACCTCATACCTACACATGCCCCTACATTTTCCTTCCAAGTCCTGCACATGTTGACTCACAGCCCTGCCTGGAGCTCATCCCTCCAGCTCTCACCTCTTGCCATATTTCCCCCAACCCCTACCACTCCTGACCACTCTGCACCTCCCCAGGCAGGAGTTTGAGGCAGACCGGAAGCCAGACCTGCGTCGGGATGTTTACCTCCAGGACATTCACTGTGTCTCCTCCCTGTGCAAGGCCTATTTCAGAGAACTGCCAGACCCCCTGCTCACTTACCGGCTCTATGACAAGTTTGCTGTGAGTTGAGAGGCAGGGGGTGTGGAAAAAGGGGCTCAGGGGTGCCACTCTGGTTTTGGCATCCCAGGTGTGTCACATGTCAGCCAGATTCCTAATGCTCCCGAGTGTCAGAGACCACAATAAGGCATTACTGAGGAAAGACACCCCCACCCCAATCTCCTAGCCCTGCTACCTCTGCCCTCCCCTTGTGCCTCTTCTCTTCACTCTCCCTCCACTGTGTGGTCTTTCCCTTTCAGCCACCGAGATGGTGGGACTTGGGGAAAGTCGAGGCAGATTGGCAAAGCTAGAAGATGCCTTGGAAATCACATAGGCCGGAGCACTTTTGTGTCTAAGAGAATGAAAACCCTTTTCAGAAGTCAAAGCTTTTTCAAGGCTGACCCTCTGTTAGCTGTAATTGTTTGGTGAACATATCTTGAATGAGACAACATATTACAAAAATGCTATCCGGAATTGAGCAGCACTTTTAAAATAAGTTGCTTTTTGTTGAGCACAACTGCATGTAAGAAACCCTGAAGGTTGGACTGGGTGGGTATAGGCCTCCCTGGACAATCTGAAAGAGCTCTGCAGTCCCTGGGGCACCCACGAGGTGGGATCCATGAATATATTCCAGTACCAGAGCTTTACCGATGAGGACACTGAGGCACAGAGAGTGGCAGTGAGTTGCTAAAGGTCACATAGCTATTAAGTGGCATAGCTAAGACTCAGTGCCAGATTCTGAGCTCTCTCTGCTACGCCAGTCTGCCTCAGGAGATCTGTGGGGGAGTGCAGAGTACACACAGATCGTTCCTGAGAGTTTGTCTCAGAGCTCTGGGGAATGAGCAAGGGCATTGCTGGATCACTGACTCCTCTCCTTGTACCCTTCCCACAATCAGGAGGCTGTGGCAGTGCAGATGGAGCCTGAGCGCTTGGTCAAGATCCTAGAAGTGCTTCGAGAACTCCCTGTCCCAAACTACAGGTGTGTGGGGCTCTGCCACTCCCACCCGGGGGTCCTGACTCCCCCTACACAGCCTGGGCTCTCTCTCCACCTGGGGCCTTGACCTGTCCCTCCCCCCTCCACCTCCCAGGCTCCAGTGTGGATAGATCCTTGTTAAATGATGTCTCCTCCCTGCAGGACCCTGGAGTTTCTTATGCAGCACTTGGTCCACATGGCCTCATTCAGCGCCCAGACCAACATGCACGCCCGCAACCTGGCCATTGTGTGGGCCCCAAACCTGCTCAGGTGGGAGTGCGAATAAGCATGTGTGTGGGGATCCTGGGAGAGAACAGCTGTGGGAGGCTGCTCCAGGGTGGGTGTGGCTGTGTGGGCAGCCTGGAGAGGGCTGCGGAGTCCCAGGGAGTCGCTGAGAAACAGGAAGGCTCAGAACTGCTTTGAGTGGGATGGGGCCTGCCCACAGCCACGTTTGAGTTCCTTCTCTGAGCTCGAGTAAAGCTGCTGAGGATGGGGCTTTTGTGTCTTCCGTGACTTCATCACTGAGCTCAGGGACTGGAACTTGGTAGGTGGTGGCTAAGTGTTCATTGAGCAAATGTCTGGCAGTCCATTGGAGGACCTACCTGCATACCTCTCACTGAGGTTCAAGGCAAGCTATGAGAAGTCCTGTAGTTCATTATAAACAAGGCACCTTGGGTGTGCAAAGGAAGCAGAGGTCAATACTGAGGAGGGTGTCCTAGAAGGCTTCCTGGAAGAAGTGGCATTGAAACTTGAATCGTGTAGGATTCAAGAGGTAGAGGTGGGGTTAAGGGCATCCAGGGGAGAGGATAAAGGTATTTTCAGGGAGTATTAGGATAGGAAGATGTGGTGGGGTGGGAGAAAAGTGACTCCACATCTCCACAGGTCTAAGGACATAGAGGCCTCGGGCTTCAATGGGACAGCAGCCTTCATGGAGGTGCGTGTGCAGTCCATTGTCGTCGAGTTCATCCTCACACATGTGGACCAGCTCTTCGGGGGTGCTGCCCTTTCTGGTCAGTGTCCTCTCCGCCCACCACATTGCTGCTTTCTGTCTGGGAGGTCATGTCAGAATCAGAGAGGGCCTCAAAGATCAACTAGTCCAGTCTCCCTATTTTGTAGATGAGAAAACTGAGCCCAGGCATAGACAGATGTAGCTTATCATCACGCGGAGAGGACCCTGGAGAGATAATGGCATGGTCAAGACTTGAGCAGAGTTATTCTATTCTCAGTCCACAGGGTAACCTGAGCTCTCATTCATCATCCTTGTCCCTAAGGCTAGTGACTGCTCATTCCCACCCCGAGGCCACAAGGCCAATGTCCTGGTATCTCCTAGCCCCCTCTGTCCATGAGAGTTCCCTCTTGAGCCCCCCCGCCACCTTGCAGGGCCTGTCTCTGGTGGTCTCTGAGTATATACCCAGCCTGGCAGGTGGGGGTGGGGGGTGGGCAATGAAGGGCTGGGTAAATGAGGTCTCTCTCTGGTCTCTTCCTGGCTGGACAATTACTTTTTTTTCCCTAGGTGGTGAAGCGGAGGGTGGATGGCGATTGCTTTCAGGGGCCCGGGCATCAAACAGCACCGAGGACTTTATGCCGAGGTCCCTCCCCCACCACCTGCCTAGCATTCTGCAGGCTGGCGATGGACCCCCACAGATGCGGCCCTATCACACTATCATTGAGATTGCTGAACACAAGTAAGGCCTCTTTCCTGGGCTCTCCTTCCCTGCACTGACCACCAGCCCCCACTCTCCAATTATTTCCCCATTCCCTGCAGGAGGAAGGGGTCTTTGAAGGTCAGGAAATGGAGATCCATCTTCAATCTGGGTCGCTCTGGCCATGAGACAAAGCGTAAACTTCCACGAGGGGGTGAAGACAGGGGTAAGTCTGGCAAGTTGTGGGGTGAGCTCTGCTGATGTGTACAAGGCCCTGGCTCTACACACATCCCTGTCTTGCAGAGGACAAGTCTGGTAAGGGGACACTGCGGCCAGCCAAGAGCATGGACTCATTGAGTGCTGCAGCTGGGGCCAGCGATGGTGAGTATAGTTGTGCGCGTATATGTGTGTGTTATGTGACCAACAGCGTGGGTCTGTGTGCATCTGTGTGTATCCATGTCTGGGAATGCATCTTCGAGAAAATAAGGTATTATGGCTGAGACCACAGTGTGTGCATTCCTGTGTGTGTGTGTGTGTGTGTACGTGTGACCACCTGTACTCAATGATTTCAAAAATAATTAATGAGTGTACAATAATTTATATACCAACTACTGTGCTGGATGCACCGTAGTTGGTATGTGCTGGATGTGGGGAAACCCTGGTGGCGTAGTGGTTAAATGCCATGGCTGCTAACCAAAAGGTCAGCAGTTGGAATCCACCAGGCACTCCTTGGAAACCCTATGGGGCAGTTCTACTCCGTCCTATAGGGTCACTATGAGTTGGAATCGACTCGATGGCAGTAGGTTGGTGCTGGATGCTGGGGTTACAGTGGTGAGCTTATAGTCTATGTGTGTGTTTGTCCATAGACGTAACGGGGACCGTCTGCAGTGGATGAAGGGGCAGTGTGTGTCAGTGTGTGTGTGTGGCAGTGATGACCGGTGACTGCACCTGCAGGAAGGGGAAGGGGGCTTTCTAGGTATGTGCAGGTGGGGTGAACTATGTTCTGCTGGCTGGGTGGAGGGTTTACAGTAGTGGCAGAGGGAAGCTGGGCCTGTGTAACAGGGAACGTTTTCCAGAGTATTCCTTAGGCATCCCCTTGCACCTGAGGCCATTGCCTACCTGGCCCTTTCTCCCCTCCACAGAGCCAGAGGGGCTGATGGGACCCAGCCGTCCTCGGCCAAGCCCGCTGCTTCCTGAGAGCTTGGAGAACAATTCTGCAGAGGCAGCAGAGGGCGAGCAGGAGCCTGAGGCAGAAGCACTGGGTGGCACGAACTCTGAGCCAGGCACACCACGAGCTGGGCGGTCAGCAGCCCGGGCTGGAGGCACCAGCCGTTCAGAGCGCTGTGCTGGCGTCCACATCTCAGACCCCTACAACATCAGCCTCCCCCTACATATCACCTCTATCCTCAATATGCCCCCAAACATCATCTCCAATGTCTCATTGGTCAGGCTCACCCGTGGCCTTGAGTGCCCTGCCCTACAGCACCGGCCAAGTCCTGCCTCTGGCCGCGGCCCTGGCCCCGGCCCTGGCCCCGGCCCCCCAGGTGAGGACTCAAGGATTGTCCAGGACTGGGAAAGACTAGAACTCCAGACTGAAGCTCTGATGCTGGGATCTTCCCTGAGAAGGGCAGAGGCCTCAGCCCTTGGGCTTTGGGGTGGTTGCCTTCAGCTGCCTCCCTGGGTTGGGGGTTGGGAGAATCTAGTAACATTATCAGGTTGTGTGAAATCTGTGGAGAGAGGATCCCTGGCAGCCTTCCGACCACTGATGTATCCAAGAACAGAGGTCTGTGTCAGACACATAGAGCAGGGATTACTAACTAACAGTGTGGAAATATATAATAGATGGTAGAAATAATAATAATAACACCTAATATTTATTGAGGGCTTATTATGTGTCAAGTGCTATGATAAGTGCCTTGCGGGCATTAGTTCATTTAATTTTCTTATAACCTTATAGCATAGGTGTTACCGTGGTAGAACCTGAGACTTAGGTTAAGCAATGTGTTATTAATATAGGTAGGAAGTGGCAGAGCTGGGATCTGATTTTTGCTCTGACTCCAGTCCCGAAAGTGGCACTGATGAGAAGTACTAAGGCAGTATAACATAGTGGGTAAGAGCATGGGCTATAGAGTTAAGCAGACTTGGGTTCAAATTTCGGCTTTGCCACTTATTGGCTGTGTGACCTTGGATAAATTGTTTGATATCTCTGAGCCTCAGTTTTCTCATACGTAAAATAGGGATAATATCCGACATAACAGGGTTGTTTTGCAGGGAAAATAAGATAATACATTGTAAAATGCACCTTGGAGGAGCTTAATAAAAGTAGCTATAAGCCAATGGAAACCCGGGAAGCTTAATGGTTAAGAGCTACAGCTGCTAACCAAAAGGTTGGCAGTTCAAATCCACCAGGCGCTCCTTGGAAACCCCATGGGGCAGTTCTACTCTGTCCTATAGGGTCGCTATGAGTTGGAATCGACTTGATGGCAATGGGTTTGATTTGGTTTATAAGCCAATAGTTATGGATATTGGTGTGAGAAGATCAGCCATGTGGGGTATCTATGCTGGGAGTTCTGGGCCCAGACTGCATCAGTGCAAGGAAGACCCACATTGGAAAGAGTCAGGGCTGGCCTGGACCTTTGGAATTCTGGGACTACCTCTCCCTCAACAGATGAGAAGTCGGAGGCAAGTCCAGCTCCAGGTTCCTTGGCTGACTCAGGCCCAGCGGACATGGCTCCTGCCCTGGAGGACTCCCTGTCCCAGGAGGTGCAAGATTCCTTCTCCTTCCTAGAGGACTCAAGCGGCTCAGAGCCTGAGTGGGTGGGGGTGGAGGATGGGGATGTGGCCAAGGCAGGAGCAGCAGGAGCAGCCTTCTCCCCTGGGGAGGACGACCCTGGGATGGGCTACCTAGAGGAGCTCCTGGGAGTTGAGCCTCAGGTAAGGAGGAGCTGTGCTGGGTTTGGGAGTGGTATGACGTCTGAGAGTGAGCAGGGCCATCTGGTCCTGAGCCACAATTCTGTGTCTACAGGTAGAGGAGTTCTCTGTGGAGCCACCCTTGGATGACCTCTCTCTGGATGAGGCACAGTTTGTCCTAGCTCCCAGCTGCTGTTCCCTGGACTTTGCTGACCCCAGGCCTGAAGCAGAGGAGGAAAGTGGGGAGGAAGTCTTCCTGAGTGCCTACGATGACCTAAGTCCCCTTCTGGAGCCCAAACCCCTGAACTGGGAAAGTCTAGGGAGTCTGGAGGAAAAGGCAGCAGGGTATGCAAGACAGGCTCCAGGGCAGGCTGAGGGAGAGGAGGCATGCATGGAAGTTGGGGAGAGTGAGGAGGCTGAGCCTGGAAACAGATGGGACATGAGGGAGGAGGCCGAGGGGAGTCCAGAGACCAAGGTAGAGGCTGGAGGGTCAGGTGAGGAAGGAGTGGAGGCTGAGGGAGGCCAAGATGTGATGGGCAGTTTGAGAGAAGGGAGTGGGGAAGAGACAGAGGCCAAGTCCAAAAGTCAGAATGAAGCTGAGAATATGGAGGAGGCTAAGGGTGTGGAGGAACCAGGAGGAGAGCAGAGTAAAGATGAGGAGAAGGAAACAGAGACTGAGAGAAAAGAAGAGGCTGAAGGAGGAGAGGAGACCCAGGTAGAAGCTGGAAAGGACCCAGAGTATGGGGCCCAGGAACACCAAGTTGATGAGGAGAGCTGGGAAGTTGTATATAAACAAGAGGCTGAGGGAGGCAGACAAGATGATGTCAAAGGACAGAGAGGGGATGGGGGTCAAGAGGCAAGAGAAGACCAAGGAAATGATGAAGACATCAGAATCCCAGAGGAAGCAGCTGGAGGAGGTGCAGGGGAGGTCAGCAAGGAATGGGACAGAGGGGATGGAGAGGCTGAGGGAGACCAGAGGGCCAGAGGCCACCATTTTGAAGAAGGCACCCTCCCTGAAGGGTCAGGTGGAGAGTCCCTGGGAGTTAACAGTGCCAAAGCGGGCAATGACCAGCCCTCTGATGGGGAACAAGCGGCCCCACAGCCACCCCAGCCAGAGGAGATGGAGCCTGAGGGGCAGCTCCGTCCGGAGGGCTGTGATCTGTGCCCCTGTTCCCCTGGCTTAGCAGGTGGTGTAGGCATGCGCCTGGCTTCCACCCTGGTTCAGGTCCAACAGGTCCGCTCTGTGCCTGTGGTGCCCCCTAAACCGCAGTTTGCCAAGATGCCCAGTGCACTGTGTAGCAAGATCCATGTGGCACCTGCAAACCCATGTCCAAGGCCTGGACGGCTTGATGGGACTCCTGGGGAAAGGGCTTGGGGGTCCCGAGCGTCCCGCTCCTCCTGGAGGAATGGGGGCAGTCTTTCCTTTGATGCTGCTGTGGCCCTGGCCCGGGACCGCCAGAGGACTGAGGCTCAGGGAGTTCGGCGGACCCAGACCTGTACTGGAGGTGGGGATTACAGCTTCATCCCCAGAACCGTCCCCTGTAGCATGATCGCTGCCCATTCTCATCGGCCCCTTAGCTGCCTGGAGCAGCCATCTGAAGGCTCAGAAGGATCTGGATCCCGGAGTCGGCTTAGTCTGCCCCCCAGAGAACTCCAGCCCCCTGATCCCCTTATGCCCCCCCAGCGCCGAACGTATGCATTTGAAACACAGGGTAACCTTGGGAAAAGTGAGGAACTGTGATTAGGACTTGGGCAATGAGACTAGTAGTAAGCTGTCTTGAATCTCCAGGGTCCCTGACCTAACTCTACAGGCTTTGGCCTCTTGCTTCTCTTTTTGACTGTGGGAGGCCACAGGTTAGTTCGTTTACCTAAGCTTGTCTAAGACAGAAAGCACTTATCCCTTAGGAGAGTCCTAAGCAAGTTGCCAAGATCCTGTTCCCAGGGAGTGGGGTTATTGGCTAAAGGGAACATAGCCGGTGCCATCAAGTCGATTCCAACTCATAGCGTCCCTATAGGACAGAGTAGAACTGCCCCACAGGGTTTCCAAAGAGTGGCTGGTGGATTTGAACTGCCGACCTTTTGGTTAGCAGCCGAACCCTTAACCACTGTGCCAACAGGAACATAGGTTGGCAGAAAACTTAGATGTTTTCCAAAGTGAAGAATGGAGGGGGAATTCCAGCCAAGTTCCTGCTTTCCTCTGAGGCTATGAACCTTCATGGAAGCTTAAGGTGAAGTGGGGTGGGCAGGGTCAGGTCAGAGCCTACCACACACAAACATTCTGTGTTGCCCATCCCTGTTCTGTTCCCAGACCCTTGACTAGTTCCTGACCTGCTGAGCTTCGGATTAGGGAGTAACTTGTCCAGGAAGCTCTTTGAAGGCTTCCGTGTTTGTTGGGAAGACTGATGATCTTTCCAGCTCACCCACCCTCTGTCACCAGTCACCTTAAAGAAGAGGGGTCCTCTACAGATCTCTCTGGCCTCTCCTTTTCCCTTTGAAATAACTTCCTCTCTCTGCTTCAGTTAAGATTTACAGCCTTGGAAACCCTATGGGAGCAGTTGTACTCTGTCCTATATGGTCACTAAGAGTTGGAATCGACTCGATGGCAGTGGGTATGGTTTTGGTTATCTTATGGAAGGGAAATGGGGCCACGGGGCTGCTTTTTCAGACCGGCTGAGCCACAGGTTCCACTCCAGTAAGGGGCAATGTCTCTGAATAAAAGTTGTATCTTTACACGTAAATAGTGTGGAGTCTCATTATTCTTACTAAAACTGTGAGTGATAAGTATCTTCTCTTCATGATCGTCAGAATGTTTTTTTTTTTTTTTTTTTTTTTTTTTGCTGTTGGTTCTTCCTCAGATGTTGTCATGGAGACCTGTGGCTAGAAACTAGAGCTGAGTTCACGGTGGTCAGGAAAAGGGGAAGAGAAATTGTATTTACATAATGCTCACTTTGTTCCAGTAACTGAGCTAGGTATTCTATGTGCATAGAATCTATGCCCTTGATTTTATTTAATTCACTTAACAGTTCTGTAAGGTTGACACTGGTATCTACATTTTACAGATGAGGAAACTAAGGCTCGATTAAGTTAAAAGGTTTGCCAAAACCTCAGAGGTAAGAAGTAGCAAAGGTAGGTATGAGATCTGGGTTTGTCTGTTCCCAGAGCCTGAAATCTTCGCATTACACCACACTACTCCAATCCATTAAGGATAGGTCCTGACTAGTTAGAATGGGAATAAAAATCCCTTTCATAGAAACTGAAGTCTTGGGGTCTTTAGGTAAGGGATGGCTGACGCTAATACAAAAGTGTATGCCAATTAGCTGTCTTAATATTCCAGTAAGAGAACACTTCAAACAGATGCCCTAATCCAAGATGGCCTCCCAAACAGCCTTGTTAAAGATGGCGTCTCGGTCAGACGTCCCGCCCTGACCTAAGCTGGCTTCCTCACTCCCTTCTCCTGAGACTAAAAAATGCCCTGCCCAGCACAAACATGGTAGCACAAATTAGGCGTCTTTCTCCCATTCTTGTTGAAAGCGAACTACGACTTCAGTGTCATTCGAACAGGATCCCAGGAAATTGCACCTTTTCAGCGCAGAAGCAGCCGAAACACATCCGCTTCCCTCAGCCCTCACCAAGAAGAAGCGAACGGAAGTGGGGCAGCTTAGGGGCTGTGAGTAGGCTGGGCGGGTCGAGAGAGACACTTCCGCCCCTCACCAATATGGCCGCGGGCTGGAAGTGCGCATGAGCGGCTGCCCATGGCGATACCCGGGTCCGGAGCGGGGAAAACACTGTCGGGGAAAAGCGGCGAAGGCGGCTTTGCCCGGTGAGTGCAGGACCAGACAGGAGTCGGGAGACTGGGCAGACCGGCAAGGCAGGGCAGCTTTGATTTGGTTTTAGGTTTCTGGGTTACGGAACTCTTGGGTAGGAAGCCTTTGTTTTGAGGGAGGGGGCCGCGCCTGGTTCTTTATCTCCTACCCCCCACTTTGTGGGCCGAGCTCGCTCTCCGCCCCCGAGCGGCGCACGCCCCCGCCCTCCTGCGATGCGCGGCGCCTGGCCGCAGCTAGGGGAGCCGAGCGGCCGAGACTCCACGGGCGGGGACGGCGGGGCCTGCCGAGCCCCCGGCTCCCGTCCCTGCCTCTTCGGAGCTGTCGGGGCGCGGGGTGAGCGCGGCGGGGCTGGCGGGGTTATGGCACCGGCCCTGGGGCTCGCGCTTGGCGGGCGCTCTGTTCCGTAAGCGCCTACTGGTTGGTGGGCCTTCAGGGAGATACCGCATTCCCAGGCACGGTCTCTGCGCCTGATTTCTTTGAGGACTTGCCTTTTTCCCCTTTGTGTCCAGACTTAGCAAGGGATCTTGATAGTCCCTCCTTGTCTGAGCGTGCACGTCACAACATCCTTTCCCTTTTCCGCGTCGCGTATCCCTAATGCTCAGGAAATGCTTCCTGATGTCCAACTGAGATTTGAATAAGCAGCCCGACTCCGTTACTGGTGCCCTCAGAGGCTGCTCCTGGCTGACAGCTGTGGGGATGCCTCCTGTCCCTGCCCTCTTTATTGCCGCCTCCTGCAGTCAGCGCAGCAAGCCTCGGGAGGGGCACCTCATCAGGTTTGAGGACGGAGAGGTAGGTGGTCCCTAAATACTAGTGCTACTTCCACTTAGGGTCTGGGATCTCCTTGCTGCGTTACTTCCTCCGGCAGCTTCACTTTCAGTTCCTATTTTTAAAGACTTGACACTTTCCTTAGACACTGGCTTTCCAGAGTTCATCTGCTGAAGATTTTCCTTCGATAGGGCAGAGTTTAGGTTTGGCGGAACCTTTGGGTAGAGAGTGTACAAACATCTTGCTGTTTCCTGTGGGGATAATCTTTTTGCCTTGCACTGTGTCGCTGTTTCTTTCTGGAGGCATTGGTCTGCTCAGCTCTTTGTTTTTCTTGGCCCCTGACTGGGTGTCAGGGCCCTAAGGCTGGCACCGTCTAGATGGATTCCTCCCCCATTGTTTCTTCTCCTTCCGAACCCCGAGCCTCCAGCTTTTTTCCGTCTTGCTGAGCCTCAGTTGATTTGGAGTTGTCATGGCAACATGTTAGCAAATGTGTTGTTTCACAGGAAGGCTTGGAGCATAAAATAGGTCTTGAAGATGCTGCATTTGGGCTGTAGGGTCTCTAACAGATGACAAATCTGAACACCCCAAAACAAGAGCCCTGTCAGTAGAATGGGCCTCAAGGGCCAATATGGTCTTTTTGGTTAGGGATGGTTTTCCATTGGCAGTGGGCTTCAGGTTTCTCCCTAGAGTCGAGAACAGAGATTGCTTCGTGTACAGTATGTGCCTGAGAAGCTGGAAGAAGCATCAGTGCCCATGGCCTTGTGTTTTTTGATAGTGATGGTCTAACATGGCCCTTCCTAATCCCCATGAAGCTGCTGTCATGGCAGGTCACAGTAGCTTTAGTAATAATCCATCCAGATATAGATCGTTTCTCAGTCTTCCAGTCCAGTTGGAGTGGTCATGGAGGGGTGAGGAACACTATTTGTAGGGTGGCTTTTTCAACCACTGTAGCCCAGTTCTCCGCATCAGAATGGGGGAGGCTGATTGTCCCCTGCAGACGGTTGTGTTCCTGGCTATATCTTCATGGAGTCTAGTTCTAGAATCAGGGGGCTGTTCAGTTACCTAAACTCACTGTAAACTCCCTGATTTCTACCAGAACTTAGCACACACAGGGCTGTGAGGCAAGACATACGAAGACCTCAGAGAAGGACCAGTTCCTCGGATGTGCCCCCTCACAGAGAGATGAAGGGGTAAGTGAAGAAGAGGTAGGGTCTGGGATAGGAGATGGGTGGCGGAGGAGAATGGCAGAAGGGCCAAGAGCACTGGCTCTGGAGTCAGGCAGATCTGGATTCAGGTCCCAGCTCCATCACTTATTAGCCGTGTGACTTGGTTTCCCCCTCTATGAAATGAAAGTGGTGCTAATTAGCGCATAGGGCTGTTCTTAGTATTAAAAAAGATAGTCCATGTTAAGATCTTAGCTCAGTGCCTGTGCACATAGTAAACACTCAGTAACTATTAGCTGTTGTTATTCAAATCTAACCTAGCATCTGTTGGGAATGCCATTGAGTTTGGGAGCCATATGTTACTGGGTCAGTGAGCTTCCCATTCATTTTCCCTTATTCTTCCTTGTCCCTTCCCCACAAACAGGCAGCAGAAAGCAGCTGAAACGGAAGAGGGGACAGTGCAGATTCAGGAAGGTGAGTGACAGAAATAGAACCAAGAGCCCTTCCTGGTCTCCCACACGGCTTGTCTCCTGTGCATCCTCCTCCTACGAACGATGTGCAGGTGGAACAGAGGGAGAAAGGCAGCAACTCACAGACCTTTCCTTTGCTTTTTTAATTCAGGTGCCGTGGCAACTGGGGAGGACCCAACCAGTGTGGCTATCGCCAGCATCCAGTCAGCTGCCACCTTCCCTGATCCCAACGTCAAGTACGTCTTCCGAACTGAGAATGGGGGCCAGGTAAGGGAGGGGGCCAGGTGGCTGCAGGTGTGACCTGGGGTTGGGATTGAGGGAGGTAATTGAACATGTCTTGGAGGATGAGGTGACGATGTAGACTCTTTGGGGGGTGGAGAGGTTTGGAGTAGAGATTGATGTGGGCTAGGGGCTATGCTGAAACTTCTGTAGGGGAAAGGAGGAGGAATGGCTGACTGTGTCTTTGAAGAACTCTTGTTTCAGGGCCCTGTCAAAGGGAAGCTTTATGAGGGGCCCTGGGATCCCTAGTGCTTACTCTCTTCTTTTTTCTTTCTTTCCTCCCCCTTCCCTCCCCACTTCTAGGTGATGTACAGGGTGATCCAGGTGTCTGAGGGGCAGCTGGATGGCCAGACAGAAGGCACTGGAGCCATCAGTGGTTACCCTGCCACCCAGTCCATGACCCAGGTACAGGGTTTTCGGCTGGGGAGGGGGATAGAGCTCTAAGCAGTAAGATGAACCAATGATGAAGCTAGGGGATGGTGAGGTACCTAGAGCTGCCTTGTCCTTTGTCCCTGGAGCTTCACTAGGCTCTCCCTTTCTGGATTGTCCCCCTCTTCCTCCAAGGGCTAGAAGCTGCAGGATGGTATGGTGGGAAGCAGTGTCTGACTCACTGGCCTCTGTTCTCTTGCTTCCCTTCCCAGGCGGTGATCCAGGGTGCATTCACCAGTGACGATGCAGTTGACACAGAGGGGACAGCTGCTGAGACACACTATACTTATTTCCCCAGCACTGCAGTAGGAGATGGGGCAGGGGGCACCACATCAGGAAGTACAGCTGCTGTTGTTACTACCCAGGGCTCAGAGGCACTACTGGGGCAGGCAACCCCTCCTGGCACTGGTGAGATATCGTGTGAAGATGCAGGCTGGAGGGGCTAGGAGAGGTTTTGGGACATGACTATTGGGCATTGGCCCATCACTCATGACCCCTCAGGTGATCACTAAGGCTTGGGCAGGCAGTGAGTCTGGGGCTGCCCTTCCAGCAGGAGGAAGCGTGTTATTTTTAGAGGATGGTCCCAAGGCATTGGTCTCGGAGCTTGATGAGGTTCCCAGTCCTATGTCCTGACAGAACCTACCCTGCATCTTCACAGGGCAATTCTTTGTGATGATGTCACCACAAGAAGTGTTGCAGGGAGGAAGCCAGCGCTCCATTGCCCCCAGGACCCACCCTTATTCCCCGTGAGTGGCCTTTGTTTCTTTTCACTTACCATGGGGGGGTTTTAATCCCTGCCAAATCCCTTACCCCAAACTTCCACCTCATTTTTTGTCCTTCCCTCACTCTGGCCACCCTGGGCTCTGTTGTCAGGAAATCAGAAGCTCCCCGGACGACTCGAGATGAGAAACGCAGGGCTCAGCATAATGAAGGTAGGTATGATGCGGGTGTGAAGCTAGGAGCTGATTGGTGGGATTGGGAATGGCAGTGATGTCTGAGGGTGGGGCAGCGGGGAGTTGGGTGATTTTACCTCGGGACCTGCGGCAAGTTTTTGCTGAGTCACTTTGTCTTTGCCCCACAGTGGAGCGCCGCCGTCGAGACAAGATCAACAACTGGATTGTGCAGCTTTCCAAGATCATCCCCGACTGCTCTATGGAGAGTACCAAGTCTGGCCAGGTCAGGATACCTGAATTATGTCTCCTGGTATTGCTTCCAGAAGTGGTAGAAAGTGGGGCACAGATGTCTGTGGTCTTTGTTTTATTCTTTCTGAAGTTCCTGTATCCCTGGGAGATGTTATATCACCATCCTTAGGGGGGAAATGAGGTCTAAAGTGCTTTTGGAAAGCAAGCCAGGTATCTTAAACCCTGGTCCTCATTTTGTTCTCTCTTTCTCACAGAGTAAAGGTGGAATTCTGTCCAAAGCCTGTGATTATATCCAGGAGCTTCGGCAGAGTAACCACCGGTTGTCTGAGGAACTTCAGGGGCTTGACCAGCTGCAGCTGGACAATGATGTGCTTCGACAGCAGGTCAGACCCCAGCCTTCAACATAGCCCTTCCTCTACCCCATAGCCACTGACCCAGCTCAGGGCTCCCTGCTTGGTTCTTCATAGAGAAGAGTTCACCTCTTTCCCCTCACCAGTGGATGTCTAAGTTCAAGGGCTTGGTTGTGCCAGCTTTTCTACGCATTCCCCTTACTGCCTCCTTCCCGTGTCAGGTGGAAGACCTTAAAAACAAGAATCTGCTGCTACGAGCTCAGTTACGGCACCATGGAGTAGAGGTCGTCATCAAGAATGACAACAACTAACCTTGGGGCTTTGGGGGCTTTGGGGGCTTCCGGTCCTACAGCCCCTTTGTGAGAACTGCAGATAGCCCAGGAGCACCAGGCTAACCCTGTGCCCCTTTCCTTCACTGCCCACTTCTGGCGTGGGACTCGGGGGAATTCAGAAAGCGTGTCTTTGAAATGAGGCCCTGTGATATAGCAGCCTGCGGTGGTGTGCAACACCCATGAGGATGTGCACTAACAGCCTCGCCCACCCCCAACAAGCAGCCCCTGGGCCCACGTGCTCTTCTTGCACAATGCATGTCCTGTCTCGATGCTGGATACTGGACACACTAAACTGGAGGACTTGTCCTGTGCTTGCTTAGAGTGCCCAGCAGAGGGTCTGCTGACAGGCAGTGCTCTGGCTTGCTCCAGGACTCCAGCGCTTCCACGGTTCTTCCTTTCCTTGGAGCTGAGGTTCAGATGTGGACCTGGCATGTCTGAGGAGCAGGCTTTAGCAGGATGTGGGAGAAGGGATGCTTCGCAGTGGCTGCTGCCCCAGGGCAGAGGAGCCTGGCGAGCAAGGCCTATGCAGAAGTCTCCGGAGCCAGGGAGAACAACAGGCAGGGGCCCACTTGGGGCCTTCCCCCTCGTGGGGGAGTTTTGTTTTTTTTTTTTTTCCTTTCTTTTTTTTTAAAAACATAAAATTCTTCAGAGCCACAGTTGTTTCTCGTTTTTACTGCTTTTGTGGGCCCCAAGGCTGAAGGAAGGGGGCACACGGCACACTGCCCTTTGACCAGTAAGGGCTGGGCCAAGTTTAGGGTGGAGTGGGCTGCTGCACTGGGTACTCTGAACCCTGGTACCTGGCCCAGACCGGTGTAGTGTTTCCGGGCCACGCCGGGCAATCACAACATTTTGCTGGTGAGCGTTGTCGGCAGCACAGCCAACGGGGGCTGCGGGGGCGGTCCGGGAGGCGGTGCAATGACTTCCGGTTCCGGTCTTGGTGCCGGGACGGGCGGGGGAGATGCTGCGGAAGGCGACCTGCCGGCTTGGGGCTTCTCTTCTGCGATTGATCACGGCACGCACCATGGCTGGAGGTACCTGTGGGGCGCCCCTTGGGTGGAGGTGGAGGTGCAGGGGCGAGCGAAGGGGTTTTGCTGAGAGGTCCGCATGCACCCTTGCTCCACCAGGACAGGGCGCTGCTGGTGAGGGGGCTCCGCGGTGCCGTGCCGTGACCCCCTCTCCTCAAGCGTCTCGTGCTCCCCTCCTCAGTGCCCACGGTCTCGTTCCTTGAACTCCGTTCGCTCCTATCCTCGGGCCGGGCCCGCCTCATCGACGTGCGATCCCGGGAGGAGGCTGCGGCCGGGACCATCCCAGGGGCGCTTAATATCCCGGGTATGGGATTGAGAGGGGACGCCCTGGTGGTGGAATAAAGACTGTCAAGGAAGATAGTAGTAGCTAATGGGACCTCAGGTACGGTGGCGCGGGGAAGGCACTGGTTACGGGGGTCCTGAGTTCCCTTAAGCCACCCCTAAGCTTCCCTAGAGAAGGGCTGATTGGAGGTGGGTCTTGGCAGCGGAACTGGCCCATCCAGTTTGAGGGGATAACAGGCGGTGAAGAGAGTGGCAGATCAGGTGACCTCCCTGAGGCTGTGTGCCAGAATCTGCCCGCTCTTCCTCCTTACGAAGTGGCTCCCGTTCAAAGGTTGTTGGGTGGAGTAGTGCCTGCAGGGGTGGCTGTTTCTGGTCCTTGAGGTTGGGAGCCACTTTGTGTTGGTGGGGTTTGTGGGTGTGTTTTGTGGCCCCGTGAACATTTGTTTGACCACCAGGGTCCAGCCCTTCCTGCCTGCTTTCCATTCTCTCCTCTTGACTCATCCTTCCAGTGTCTGAGCTGGAAAGTGCCCTGCAGATGGAGCCAGCTGCTTTCCAGGCTTTGTACTCTGCTGAGAAGCCAAAGCTGGAAGATAAGAACCTCATTTTCTTCTGTCATCTGGGCAAGAGGGGATTCCAGGCCACACAGTTGGCCAGGGGCCTTGGATACACTGGGTATGGAGTAGATGGCTAGCTGGGGAGTGACTGGGGACTCCCTCCAGGGCCTGTCCTTCCCTCACCCCTCTTTGTCTCCACAGGGCTTGCAACTACGCTGGGGCCTATAGAGAATGGTTGGAGAAGATGGGTTAGACGATGGTTTACTGATTGCACCCTCTTCCTCTCAAATGACACTCCGTGGTGACCTTTACTAGAAGTGAGGAAGGGGCTGACTTGCTGGGTTGGGCAACTCCTTGTAGTGCCATGCACACCAAAAATCAAATAAAGAGCATTTAATCAAAGTCTTGGAAGCATTTAATTTGTCATATGGACTGAAAACAGGTCCAGTCTTAACCTAGACTTCAACTCAGCCCTGGGTCCTGTCTCCTTCCAGTGTTTATCTACCCACAACCTTCCCCACCCCACAATACATTTAAAAAAAAAAAAAAACAAACCAAACCAAATTCATCACCATCAAGTCGATTCTGACTCATGGCGACCCCATGTGTTACAGAGTAGAACTGCTCCATAGGGTTTTCTTCGCTGTAATCTTTATAGAAACAGATCACAAGGCCTTCTGTGGTGCTGCTGGATGGGTTTGAACTGCCACCCTTCGGGTTAGTCGAGAGCAAACCACTTGCACCTCCCAGGGACCTTTCCCCAGGTAGATACCAGCAGCTTTTATTGAGAGACTACAGTTCTTCAGAGGCAGTGCTTGGTTCAGTGGTAGAATTCTCGCCTTCCATGCAGGAGACATGCAGGAGACCCAGGTTTGATTCCTGACCAATGCACTTCATGTACAGCCACCACTCATCTGTCAGTGGAGGCCATGTGTTGCTATGATGGTGAACAGGTTTCAGTGGAGCTACCAGACTGTCTTAGGTTGGGTTCTCTAGAGGACCAAAACCAGTGAAGTGTATATATAAATATATATAGAAAGATTTATTTTGAGGAAATGACTCACACAATTGTGGAGGCTGGCAAGTCCCAAATCCGTGAGTCAGGCAGCAGGCTGGAGGCTTCTGATTCACGCAGTTGCAGGGGCTAATGAACCCAAAATCTGCAGGTCAAGCTCTTCTTGTCCCAAGAGCTGGAGGTCAGACTATGAGACGAATGCAGGATCAAGAGAGAGAGAGCTTTGCCAGAACATCCATTTATATCATGGATGCAGGCCACACCCCCAAGGAAACTCCTCTTCCAACTGATTGGCTGCTCACATCGGATTACAAAGTGGGAGATGATTAAATAGTTATCTGGCAAACCACTGAGAATTACAGCCTAGCCAAATTGACATTAACCATCACAGTCCACCCCTTGTCAACTTGGCGTCTATACACACCTCCTTAAACCATACATCATCTCTAAATAAAGACAATTACAGAGTAATACTTGTGCTGAACATGGTACAACTAACGTGTACAACCAAAAAACACACTAGCCCTGTTTACATCTTATATTTTATAATGAGTAATGGGATCAGGGAAGGAAGAAAACAAAGATATTTATTATATACACATATCTATGTACACACAGGAGCCCTGGTGACTTAGTGGTTAAGAACTATGGCTGCTACCCAAAAGGTTGGCAGTTCAAGTCCACCAACCACTCCTTGGAAACCCTATGGGGTGGTTCTGCTCTGTCCTGTAGGGTCACTAGGAGTCAGAATCGACTCAAAGGCAATGAGTTATGGGTTATGTACACATATGTATAACAAAACAAGGCAGAGATACTCATAACAATTACAGTCCTCGTTTCTGCAATTAGTCACACAGTCATAGCTGGTATTTAGAACTACCTTCTTCCACCACACATTCCGTATCCCCTTTGCCTTCAGCTGGTCATGGTTCTTTTATGCGGTGCCTGAGCTGTGACTCTGAAGCCCTGAGCTCATTCCTTTCTTTCTCCACTTTGTCTAGTGAAAGTAGGACCAACCACCCAGCTTCTTCATACTTGTCAGTCTAACAAAAAGGCTGGAAAGCATCAAATACACGATCACTCAGAGTCTTGTCTCACAAACATTTGATCCAATGGTGGTGATACTTCGCATATTTCTATTGTCACCTCACGTCATGGATTACCAGCGCCCTCTTCACTACTAGAGAGAGTCATTAGTGCCTTTAAGATGTGCCAGTCTTGAGAACCAATTCAGGAAACTCATCCTTAAGATTTTGTTCCTCTAGAATCACTCCTGGTACCAAATGTCTTAGGCTGGATTCTCCAGAGGAGAAAAACCAGTGAAGTGTACATATACGTATAGAGAAAGATTTATTTTGAGGAAACTGTTCATGCAGTTGTGGAGGCTGGCGAGTCCCAAATCTGTCAGTAGGTGGCAGGCTGGAGGCTTCTCCTGACTCACCTGGTTACAGGGGCTGACAAACCCAAAATCTGGAAGTCAGGCTGCAGGCTGCTGCTTCACGGGGTTGTGGGAGCTGGTGAATCCAAAATCTGCAGTTTAGGCGGCAGGCTGAAGGCTTCTCAAGTCCCAAGAGGGGAGGTCAGACTATGATGAGACGAATGCAGGACTGAGAGAGATTTGCCAGAACATCCGTTTACATCATGGATGCAGGTCACACCCCCAAGGAAACTCTTCTTCCAACTGATTGGCTGCTGTGGTGAAATGAGTTCCTTTATGTGGCCTTTTCCTTTGGTTCTTTGGAAAACAGCTTGAAAGATTCCCCCCCACCCCCCAGGCCCAGGGGAGTTACCTTTGCCCTAGTTTTCTACCCCGGAGGGTTTGTTACTTTTGTCAAAGTTGATTGACATTTCCTGGATAAGCTGTAAACAAGGATGGTGTCTTAGTCACCTAGTGTCACTCCAACAGAAATACCACAGGTGGATGGTTTTAACAAAGAGAAGTTTTTTTCCTCACAGTTAAAGTAGGCTAAAAGGCCAAATTCAGGGCGTCAGCTCCAGGGGAAGGCTTTCTCTCTCTCTCGGCCTTCTCATCAGTTTTCCCCCAGACTAGGAGCTTCTCCGTGCAGGGACCCCGGTCCAAAGGACACGCTCTGCTCCCGGCACTGCTTTCTTGATGGTATGAGGTCCCCCTGTCTCACTGCTCACTTCTGTCTTTTACATCTGAGGAGATTGCCTCAGGACACAATCCAGTCTTGTAAATTGAGTCCTGCCTCACTAACACAACTGCCGCCCACCCTTCCTCATTAACATCATAGAGGCAGGATTTACCACATATGGGAAATCACACAATACTGGGAATCATGGCCCAGCCAAACTGATACACACATTTTTGGGGGGACATAATTCAATCCGTGACAGATGGTTTGATACTTTTTGTCTGGTCCTGGGCTGCAGCCTGCCCTATGATTGGTATGCAGCTTACACGGACTGGTCAATATATTATGCGAATTAATTGACTATGAAACCAAAAAACCAAACCGTCTGCAGTCAAGTTGATGCTGACTCATAGCGACCCTATAGGCCAAAGCAGAACTGCCCTATAGGGTTTCCTAGGCTGTAATCTTTACAGAAGCAGACTGCCATATCTTTCTCCCACAGAGCAGCTGATGGGTTTGAACCACCGACCTTTTGGTCATCAGCTGAGTGTTTAACCACTGCACCACCGGGGCTCCTTTGAAGTGACTATAGACTACGCAAACTAAGTGACTATAGCCTACTATGCAAATGAAGTATCTGTGGCCTCCCAAAAGGGGATTGGTCAGTTTGTGGCCCTGGTGGGAGGGCCATGCCTTGAAATTGACAAGGAGTTTGCTTATATATGCAGCTATCCCCTCAAAAGTTAGCAGACAGAAGCAGAAGGAAGGAAGAAGAGAGAAGTAGCAGAGAGAGAAGAGGCAAGGAACCTCCTAAAAGGGCTGTCATACAGGTCAAGAGCTGTGACACTGAAGCTAGATAGCAAGAGGCCCAGAAGGGGCGCTGCGGCAGAGTTGATGGTGACAGCAGAAACGTGCTGCTAGGAATGCAACTAAGAGAGCTGAACAAAACTGCTCCACTGGCTGTGAGCTGGGTCGGTTGGCAGTGGAGAGGCTGAAGGCAGAGAGGCCTGTCCTCAGGGGCCTGAGAGGAAACCTGTCCTGAGGGGGCCAAGAGGAGGTGTGCATGGCTGAGAGGGGACATGCATGGCAGAGAGAAGGGCCGGCTTGTTTGCAGTGCTGAGAGAGCTGTCCTGCACTGAAGAGGGGAGGGATGTGTTCTCCACTTCAGGGGAGCCTGCCAGACTTTGCCTGCGTGCTTCCTGATCTTGCCTTGTACCTTGTTACTTCCTAAATAAACCACTTAACTGTAAGTATGATCTGTGAGTTCTCTGTGGCCATTGCAATGAATTATCGAACCCAGTAGAGAAGGAGAGAGTGCCGTGGGAGGGATGGCTGGTGTCAAAGTTGGTAAAAAGTTTGGAGAGTGGAGGTATGTCTGACCTCCACCTCATAGGAATTAGCTTTGGGCTGATCCTGGTTATTATCCCCCCAGAAGTTAGACAGGTTCTGATGCTACTACTACTATCTTTTACAGCTGCTCACATTTGATCACAAAATGGGAGGTGGTTACATACTGTCTGCCAAACTACTGAGAACCAGAGTCTAGCCAGGCTGACACATAACATTAACCATCACACAGATGAAGACGGACTAGGAAAAAAGACCTGGTGATCTACTTCTGAAAATCAGCCATTGAAAACTCTATGGGTCATAACAGTCTGATCAGTTGCCACAGGGATGGTGCAGGACTGGGCGGGGTGTTGTTCTGTTGTGTATGGGGTTGCCAAGAGTCAGGAACAACTCAATGGCCGCTAACAACAACAAAAATTCTCCTGGAACAGTTGTTTTCAGCCCAGGATGCACATCAGAATCACGTGGATAGCAGGAAAAAAAAAAAAAAAAAAGCTTGAGCCCCATCTCAGATTCAGAATCTGAGCGTTAGTGGTTTTATAAGCCCCTCAGGTGAGTCTAACATGCTGTCAGGAGTGGGAACCACTGTTATTCTTGTACTTATTGTCCATAAGTGCTTTTGCACTAAAATGGCAGAGTAGTTGCAACAGAGACTGTATGTTCTGCAAAGCCTAAGATATTTACTATCTAACTGTCTTAGTCATCTAGTGCTGCTATAACAGAAGTGCCATAAGTGGATGGCTTTAACAAACAGAAATTTATTCTCTCACAGTCTAGTAGGCTACAAGTCCAAATTCAGGGCATCAGCTCTAGGGGAACACTTTCTCTGTCAGCTCTGGAGGAAGGTCCATGTCATCAATCTTCCTTTGGTCTGGGAGCCTCTCTGTGCAGGAACCTCAGGTCCAAAGGACGCGCTCTGCTCCCGGCACTGCTTTCTT